TGGAGAGATCTTGAAAGACCTGTGTACGTTCAATCAGAACCAAATCCTCGACTCGGGAGGGCAAACGAACTAGCAGATTTTCTGTCAATATTTTCGTAAATATGGGATTTGGAAATACTATACTCTACAAAAGTGGCACTCGTTTGCAATTAAACATCAGAGCTGTCCTTTAAGCCGCATTTCATTTTAATTAATGATTTTTCTTTTCAAATTTTTCCGCGAATTTTAATTGTAAAATTTGATGATTACCCTTTCATAACATCAAACGTGTAAAATGCTCGTTCGATGATATGAGAGCATTATGGAATATAATTGAAGGGATTAAAGTAGACGATACAATATTGATGAAGATGGGTTTCGGGAATGCCATAGTCTACAAAAGAGGCGCTTATTTATAATTTAACATCAACGGTTTCATTTAAGTCCCAGTCGATTCCGATTATCCATTTTTTCCAAATTTCTTCCCGAAATATAATCGTAAAATTTGATGATTACCCGTCTATAATAAAACTTTAAAAGCACTTGGATATCCCCAACTAAAAAACCTTTATGAAATTGAATTTCTACTGGTTGTAGGTCGAAGCCACCGACAATGACGAGGGTGAAAATGCTGAAATCACCTACAGCATTTACCACGTATCCAATAATGGGCTTCAGAAATTTAAAATTGATCCAAAGACCGGTGTTATCGAGTCGGTGCGTAAATTGAATGCCGGTGAACAGTATAGCATTACTGTTCAAGCTACTGACAAGGGTGGCCGATATTCACAGACCATTGTTGAAGTCAATGTGATACCTGGGCCAAACACTAGAAGTCCTGTTTTCCAGGAACCTGTTTACGAAGTGCAAGTCAGCGAGGGGGCTTCCATCAACTCCACCGTTGCAACCATCACGGTATGCACATTTTTCTCTCCACTTTTCCATAACTATTTTTATCGATACTCTCGGAGAATATCAACAGTTAATTGGTAAATAAAAAGGCGATGCATTAAGGTAATTGGGGTTTATGAAATACTTCTTTAAGAAGGATACACATTTTTTTTGGTCAAGTGCATCGTGTTTTTACCCGAATACATTAATGGTAAGACCTTATTCAATTAATTTTTCATTGGTTTCCTGATTCATAGGTGAGTTATGGTAATGCGTCTGAAAAGCAGGAGTGGAAATTGTTATTCTTAGATTTTCATCGAATAAACAGTTATTGGAACTAATGGAGATTTCAAAATGCGTCTTGAAAGAGAAACAGAAATCGTGTTGGGTCATTTCACACAGACTAAACGAATATGATAACTCGGAGTTAGTTGAATATCAATTAATTTCCGGAGAGTAAATATTCTCCCGGAACATTCTATTTAGACGAATAACTGCTATATACAGCAAAACATGAAAACTAGGAATTCATGAATAACAATTGAGAGATGAATCTGTGGTGAAATGGTAGAACGTGCTAATCCAGAATATCTTACTTGACATTTCTTGACATTTTTCGACCGCTCGCAACACTTCTAACCCTAGTCGTACCGAAGTGTCAAGAAAAGCACGTTCATATATTTTGCTATGCTACCTTTGTTTCTCCAGAGCTCATTTCAAAAATATTCTGTTGCCTTTACAACTTCGGTTTCGATGTAATGATGAGTTAATTCAACATTAATTAATAATTCCCTGAGGGGAAATATCGTCTGGGAACATTTTATTCTGGCAAAACTGATCAAAATCCTTAGTTTAATCGTTCTATTCAATCGAGCGTGAAACCTCGTATTTTATGAATAATAACTAACAGATGAACCGGCACTAAAATGTTAGAACATGAGAATGCAGATCTTAATTGACATTTGTTGACATTTTTTGAGGTACAAGTGCAAAAATAAACACAGTAATCTACATTAAGCTAAGCACGCTTCAACAATTTTTTGAGCAACGTTCAATTCTTCAGGACCCCTATGAAATGTCCATTGCATTTTATCAACTCCGTATGGATCTAATGATGAGTTAGTTAAACATTCATTAATCCGATAATATTTATTTATTTATTCAGCCACATGTATACCCTCTCGGGTCTTTACATTTTGTTCCCTTCCCTCAAATACTAAATCCCAGGAGTAAGATAACATAATTTGTTTTTAATCCGATAATATATATTTGCTTAATATTTTCGATTTGGACGAAATTTATCAGAAGCTTTAGGCAGATGCCTGTTGTATGTAACGAGACGTAAAAAGTAGCAGTTCATTAATCACAAACATTGAAGCGTGGATTTGTAAAAAATGGGGAAATGTAACAATTCGGAAAATCTTACTTGATAATTCTTCATTGAATCGTACTTTTTTCAAATTATTTTTTCGAAAGATAAAGATAAGCAAGTTTCAGTAATTTTATTGAGGTACCTTTATTCTTCCAAAACCCATAAGAAAAATCTATCGTTCTTACCACCTTGGTGCAGATCCCAAGCTATAGACAGATGACTGTTGTATCTAACAAGATGTAGAAAGGTGAAATGTGATCATCCGGAAGATCTTCCTCGATATTTCTTCATTGCATCGTAATTTTTAAAAATTCTTTTTTCGAAAGATAAAGATAAGCAAGTTTTAATAATTTTATGGAGGTACCTCTATGCTTCCAAAACCCATAAGAAAAATCTATCGCTCTTACCACTTTAGGACAGATCTCGTGATAATCCACCTTCATTTCCACAGGCGGTGGACCCTGAAAACGACCCAGTATCGTATTCAATAGTTTCGGGCAATGACTTGAGGCAGTTTGCGATCGGTGACAAGTCAGGCGTTATTACCGTTATAAGGAAGTTGGACAGGGAAGACTTGACGCGCTATCAGCTGGTAAGTGGCAGTCGAACAGCATCGAGCGTAAAAAAAAATCCCTCCTACCAACCCATTCATTATTCATCCTCCTCTCCATCGACATTGAAACCAACGTTGAAGCCAGAATATCAAACATTCTTTTTCGTCATCCACCACGAGAGTCTCATGTAACACTCTATTCTTCCTGGTTTACCAGCTGATAAAGGCAGAGGACAGCGGTGGACTTTCTAGCACAGTGACAGTTAACATCAGGGTCACTGATATTAATGACAAGAATCCCGAGTTTGTGGGATTACCTTATGAATTTGAGGTGAAAGAAGGTGAAGCGAGAAAACTCATTGGCCACGTACATGCTGAGGATGCGGATGAGGGGATCAACTCTGAGGTCACGTACTTTGCACCCGATGATATACCATTCACCGTGGATCCCGAGACCGGCGACGTTCTCACTAAAATTGCACTCGACTATGAGCAAAATCATGTGAGTTCAGTGAAGTGAAAAATCCTCACGAATCGTAAACTTTATCATTTATAACACAAGTTGTTTCGTAATCAGTGGTATTTTTTCCACGTTCTTGGGGTAATGGAACATGGTAATAAGTTGAGATTTATTGTTCACTCATCCAGGAGTATAAATTCGTTGTAACTGCTCGAGATGGTGCCCCAGATCATCGTTTAGCAACAGCAACAGTTACAGTGAAAGTTATCGATGTTGAAGATGAGGTACCCGTATTTCATCAGAGCAGTTATGAGGCACGGGTCAAGGAGAATGTACCTGATTACATGGTCATTCAGGTTGTGGTATGTATCGCTATTTTTCAAAATTATTCTGGAAAGGCAGTCGTAAAGTGGGAAATGGAGACTATTTCAGAAATGACTGACTCGGGATTTTGGGCAGATGTTCGAAGCGAATTGGTTTAGAGAAACTGAAAGGAGCTTTCATAATTGTTAATATATGGCAATTATGGTAACACCTTTCTCCTCATGAATATGAACTCTACTCACTTTACGCCCTCAACTCTTTTGTTCTTCTTCCCTTCTTTCTCGTTCCTCCATTGCGGAACCCCTTAAGAAGTCTAAGCATCGGAAATCATTCCACCATATCAATTGCGTATTGATAATCCACAGGCCGATGATCCCGACACGAAGAAGCAGATAACGTACGTAATTAAGGAAGGAGACACTGACCTCTTCAGCATTGATCCAAAAACCGGGGTCATCAGAACAAATCGTGGATTGGATTACGAGAGAGATAGCCAGCACATTCTCATCGTGGGTACTTTGGAGAACACGAGCGATCTGCCAGGCTCAACCACTCGAGTGGTCATTAATGTTCAGGTATTTCAGAAGTTGAATTGCACGAGTGCACGCTTGAATTCTCATGACGTACTGCAATCATGGATGAAATCGATTAACATGTAATCTGGGTATTTTTTTAAAGGATGCCAATGATATCCCACCGGTATTCACTACAGTCCCACGTCCAATCACACTGGATGACGATGTTCCTATAGGAACTACCGTGATCAATCTTAATGCCTTAGACTCCGATGGTACAGCTCCTGGTAATCAGGTAAAGAAATTCAGTATTATGTTCTAATTTGATGATAATCGGTCCATGATTAACACGAGTTTGAAAATAATTCGATCATTATTCTAATTCTTTCGTGAATAAAGACGTTTAGATGAATTGGTGATGATGCGTTCTTGCACATAATTCTGTGAAATCCAACAAAGTTCTTATGATATTTATCACTGAACCCATAAACTTCAGTAATTTTGTTGTTTAATCCTACAAATAAAACATTGAAGGTTCAATTTATGTAATTTTGGAAATAATTCGAATCGTAAGAAATTCATTTGATATTTTTTAAACCCACTAAATTCACCGATTTCCTCAATTAATCCTGCAAATTAAACATTGAAGGTTCGATACGAAATAATCGGACGGGGAATAGCCCAGAAATACTTTGTAATCGACCCAGACACTGGAATTCTAACAGTACGTGACGATTTACGCAAAGAAACAGATTCTGAATATCAGGTAAATGACTAAGCTAAATTGAAAAATTGATGCAGCCAATTTCATAGTGATTAAACCGAGCTTTTATCAAAGGTGGACGTTAGGGCTTACGACCTCGGTGAGCCTCAGCTCTCGTCAGTAACTACAGTGCCAATTTACGTGCGTCATGTGGCAACGGTAGCCCCAGAAGTTGGCCTAGGCTTTGCCGAAGACTCTTACAATGTCGATGTGCCTGAGGATGCACATGATAATACACTCATAAAAATACTAACCGTTATAAACAGTCATACACACGACTCCACGCCTTTGACGTGTGAAATTTACAGTGGTAATGAGGAGGGATTGTTCGAAGCCACCATTACTGAGGAGAGAAATTGCGCATTGAAGCTTAAGAAGGGTAAACTCGATCATGAGACTACTGAGAGCTATCAGATTAAGATTAAGTTGGAGTCGTTATCTGGTCTATTGAATTCCCACAGGAATACAACAATGGTTAGTATACATCCTTTCAGGCTTTGAGGGTGATTAGTGAGATCAATTAGTCAAATTAATTTGGCTGCACTAGGTTTTGTAGAAGGGAAGACTCAATAATTTCAGAGATATTTGCTTGATATACTTTGAGAAAATCTCTTGTCTTGAAAGAATGAAGGATATTAGTGTCCGGATCATCTTAAGAATATCTTCGGAAATAGAAGATTTATAGAAAATATCAGGAGGCTTTTTAAAGATAAAGTATTTTAGTAAATTCGCCTGGAAATGTTTAGAACCTTTCAATGAGCTTTCAGTTTTATAATCGCTTATCCGTGTACTAAATTCTCACACAAATGTGATTAAATAAACGATATAGTTTCAAGGGTATTCACACAATGAATACGATGAAATTTTGTCGACTTGAAAAAACGGAATAATAAATGTTAGGATTATGGTAATGAATGACACTCTCTGATAATTCTTCGGTGCAAGTAACTTTATTAATTGGAAGGAACGTCTGTAAAACAGATAAATAAAGAGTCATCCATTTCACTCGTCTATTCCTTCATTCTGTTTCAGCTAAATAAAATAATGTAAAAATCTTTCATGAGTGGTTTATAATATTCAACTTATACGGCAAAAAGTGCAGTCATGAAAGATGGCTTTTTGCTTCTCTACGTTATAACTATAAAATGATTCCAATAGTATATTGCTCAGAAAAGGTCTCATGATAAACACCTCACAACTTTGTCAATGTTGAAAAAATCAATTTTCATCTTTTCCCCTGCAGGTAAAGATTCAAGTTCTAGACGTGAATGACAACAAACCGGAGTTTATATTCCCAGAGGATCCCTTAAATCTCCGCAAAGGCCATTACTTCGCATCAATACCGAGGACTGCGCAATTTTCCTCAACAGTTTTGCAAGTTAAAGCCCACGATAAGGACAATGGAAAGTTTGGAAAGTTAGAGTATAAGATGCTGGAGGGCCGTGGCACTCAATACCTGATGATAGATAGTTCCTCGGGCATCATAAAGACAGCTGCAACACTGGATAACGTCAGTGAGGACGAACTCCCGTTCAAGTTTAATGTGCGAGTTCGAGATCATCCCAACAGTACGACGAAATTCCACACCGCTGATGCACGAGTTATTGTGAATCTCATCGACGAGGAGGATTTACTCGTTTTAGTCATTCAAGACGCATCCCCTGACACTGTGCAGAAGGAAGCTTCCAAGATTGTGAGGATTTTAGAAGAGAAATCAGGACTGATTATTGGTATCGAGAGAATTGCTATGAGAAAAACTGTTACGAAGAATGGCACGGTCGAGAGCCATCCACTAGACTCGGACGTGTGGTTTTACGCCGTCGATCCAAAGACTGAAACTATTCTTGACAGAAATAGCTCACAATTACAAAGGTTCGTGGATTAGAAGTCATTTAATTTTATTTAGACAGATTGAAGGGTTCATTTATTCTTAACAGGCAATTCCTTTGAGGATTTTAAAGCCCATTTTTTGATAGTTAATACAAAGTTCTTTCGCAAAAGTTGAAAGAATCAGGGCGACAATTCATGATCTCATTTATCTTAAATTTTTCAATCAACTAAATCGTTTGCTAACAATTAAGAAAGCAGTTTAACAATGATTTAGTCATTCTATCAGTGAACAGCGAATAACTTTTCACGTAGAGAGGAATTTGTATTGAAAATTACCCTTGAATTTTAGTAATCGCTCAACGTAATGATTCGTTCATCTTTTACAAGATAATAAGATGATTGTATTGTTCATGGAAAAATCATTGGGATTTTGTAAATAACGAGAACGTAAGCAATACGATTATTCTCTATTCATTGTAGTTGAAAGAAGGTTTTGTAATTGCCTTCTGAAACTGTAAAAGAGGAAGGCCATTGAATATTAATCAATCTATCAATGATCCATATACAATTTAGCATTGATCCCTGAAAAGAATTCTGATTCTAAGAGACTCCTCCCCCCTCAGAAAATATCTCCGAAAAAAAAATTCCCCCGATTTTGTCCGGTTGCAGTTTTTCCTCACTAAAAATGTTTTTTATTTATTCGTTTATGTAACCGCAGGCCTTGGACGATGACAAGGCTGATACGTTTAATTGAACGTTTTTATTCAGTCTAGTAGAAAACATCGACAGGCCGAAAGCTTCATTAATTTCGGAGTAAATAACGATAAAAATGGTGCAATGAAACTGATTTGTTACGAGTATCGATCGCAATCTGTTGAACCCCATTGACAAATGATAATTGCACAATTTCCATTGATGTCTTGATTAGCATATTTTGTCAACAAATTTGCACAATTGGTTTCTAGAATGGTGCTGGACAAGCCCTCTGCTTCATCGATATTTTTCGATGTTTCCGCGGCCCTTGGTGCGAATGCAATCGAGATACATGCACCGGTAACGGCGCCAGAGCCTGTACGCACTCAGACAGCAGTTGCATTCAGTGGAGAGGTATTCCCATATGCTCTCATAATTATAGCCTGCGTTATCCTTGTACTGGGCATCGCTGGAATAATCTACATCTGCGTATCGTGGTCTAGGTAAGTTTTCCGTTGACCCTTCGTACATTTGGTTAATTGAAACTCGATCCCAATTTAATTATGAATACTGTAATGATTATAAGGATACTACTCTCATTAAGTCCAAGGTTTAATAGCTTTTAAACTTCACTTGATTGCTTCTTTCTCGTTTTTCTTTTCATTGTTAATGCACTTTTATGACTGGATTCAGTCAATCATTTATTTGTCGATCTCGAGCTATTGTTACCGCCTCACGTACGGGCCCTTTTGTTACCCAGCGTAGCGTATGCAAAATACAATTTGAATTCATTGGGTTCTAATGGACCCAAAATTATCATATCGATATGTATTTGAAGCTGGCGTTTCCGTTTTTCTCGTAATATACAAATTTATGGATTCAGAAATAATTGATTTTGAGGGGCTAATTGCTTTTTCTGTTGCAAGCTTGGACGTCTAATGCAATTATATCATTTCGTAAATGTTTTTCGGATCGAGTTTGAAAAGTTCCCAGACATTTTTCTCTGATCCTCCAATGGCTTTTTCACGCATTACGTAATTGAAACTCGATCCCAATTTAATTATGAATATTACGATGATAATAATGGAAACTATCCTTATTAAGTCTGAGATTCAATAGCTTTTGAAATTCAGTTGATTGTTATTTTCTCATTTTTCCTTTCTGTTGCTAATGAACTTTCATTAGTAGAATCAACTAATCATTTGTTTGTGGATCACAAGTTATGTTTGCAAGCTTGGAACTATAATGGAAGTATATAATTATTTATTGAAGGCATTTTGCTCTGCATCGCTCTCTACCGACGGTATTTATTAGAAATTAAAGAGGAAACAATGGCTTCTTCGTACATTCTTCAACTGAAACTCAATATCAATTTAATTATGAATATTGTGATGATGATAATGGATTTTGTTTTCATAAAGTCTGAGATTTAGTAGCCTCTGCAGTTCAGTTGACTATTTATTTTGCGAAATGAAAAATGGGAGAGAAATAAATGGAGCATAATAGCAAATTCCGTGGCAAAGCGAAAGGAGCAGGAGAGAAATAAATTTTTCCGATAGAGAGACAAAAAAAAGTCTTCAATATTTTTCTCTGAACTTTTCTTCCAAAGGTATGTGCTGAAGCATCTGACAGAGAGCGGAATATATTGAAAGTTTGTACCACTTCGTGAGTTTACAATAGTCTCTTCGCGCATTAAGTGAATTGGAATTCGATCCTAGTTCAGTTATGCACATTGTAATGACGCTAATGAATATTGCTTTCCTTACGACTGAGCTTCAGTAGCTTTCGGCACAGCGTTAATTTTCATTCCCCAACTTCAGTTTTTATCTGACTGAAAGTAAAGAGATTTCACGGCTGGATGCAATTGATTCATCCATCACAAGTGATTATTATATTTTCGTTTATTTCACTGAATCGAAATTATCGTAGCATAAAATTCTGTTAGGAAGCCGAATAATATGGATGTAAATCCATCGGAAAATGTAATTCTGCGAATATTTCCTCCGTATGACGATAGTCACTAAAAATCTTTCAGTCAAACAACGAGATTGAAAATTCTGACCTCACATTTTCGAAAATATCTTGGATACTAGTAGGTTTAGGAAACATAATCAGAGAACCTTTTTTGTAGTCCATAAAATTCTCCACAAAAAACATTTTGTGGTATTTTTCTCTAAACCCCTTCGATTCCGCGATATTTCCAAAAATTCTGTCATCATAACTGATTTCATTCGTCTCTTACAATACAGATGATATAACTCTCCATTTCCCAATAGGTACAAAGCGTACAAAGACCGTATGCAACGGATGTACGTAGTGCCTCGTTACGACCCAGTATTCGTAGAAACAGATCTCAAAGAGTACGAGACCCAAGTCCTCAGGATGAGTGTGCCAAATGACGATAATGACAGTTACAACGATCTGCAGATTGATTTCAGTAATAAAAATCATGCATTCAGTCTCGACAACGTCAGCTACATCACCAAAGATCACAGTGGAAGCACAGGTGAGTGTTCTCCCCCCCAATGGAGCCCTCAAATCCCCAAATCTTCCCATTATTTTGCAATGATCAAGTGATTTTCCATCTTTGAAATTAAAAATTTCCAGGTCAACAGAGTCCCGTTAGTTCTGAAGCAGCGACGACAGTTCGTGCCTCCAGCATCGCTGGAAATCACCCAGACGCTGGTGTTCACTCATTAAAACGCTCGACAATGGGGCGTAAAAATGTGGGAAACACAAACACAATAAATACGATTGATACACCTGTTCTGAACCCCCTGTTCAATCACAACGATTTATTGAGTAATCCGAGTCCATCGAATGACAATGTGACATTCAGAGAACGAAAGGATTATTCACATCTTGGATTCTCTTATTTAACGGATCAGAGCCCAGTGGAGACAACGACAGAGTTATAATTCTTCCCTCTACATTATTGTGATCTACTCTGAATAGAGTGATGAATGCCTGGTGTTTCAGTTGAGGGAACCGAGAGGATTAATTTCCTCCCAATTTTATGAAGAATATGCAGAGAATCAAATACTCTATTGTTTTTACTATTCTCGAGTGCATGAACACTTACTTGTGTGTGAGCTGACACACGATTTTTATGTGCCAAGTCAGCTGCCGTCCGATAGGCTTAAGTGATTAGTTTATTAACGTGTGAACATAATTAATGCATAATTGAGGGATGATTACTTGTGTGAGTGACAATTGTACATGTTTGTATCTGTGGAGAAGTGATGAAACGTGACAAGTTGAATTTGACTTTTATTGATGGTAAATTGTTGAGAAAAAAAATTCTCTTCACATTTTTCAATTGCAGTTTATCATAATTCGAGTGAGTGAATTCTTAATATAATGTGTAACATTCACTTGTTGGGCAACATCTCTTTCCTCATGATGTGGTTTTATCGTGTATCATATTTTTATTATTTATAACTAATTGAGGTTTGCTCATGTTAATGATTTATTCAGGTAATTGACAGTGATGTACTTAATTGCGAATTTAATCATGCGTTGAAGTTGTGAAACGTGTTAAATTGAATGAAATATATTTATTAATTATGGGATTATCTTGAGGATCACTCACTGCAGGCGAAATTTTAGCAGATAATTCGATAATTAAGAATTGTGTTGTGACGTTTTGCTTCAACTTGTTGTATTCAGAGCCTTTGACCAATTATCCATTGACTTATGATAATTTATTTCTTACTTGGATCAAATCGATGAGTGAAGAATGACTTTATTTCAAAGAAAAAGAATTGTGGAGGTTTTTGTAATTTTTCATGAGAATTTTCAAGTGATTGCCGTAGCAATGAATTAATTATCTTCCTCGGGGTATCAGAGTACTGCCAATGAATCCTTAAAAACTACAGTCAATCGTAAATGCAGCTTTTCCATGCGTATTTTCCACCGGAAAATTTCCGCTTGCACTGGGTTTAATGCGATAAATTAAAATCTACTCCAACCCCCCTGACATTCGATTGAGTGTAGGAGAGAGTGAGGCAAAATGGAATCTTCACTTGTAAACAGAGGTGTGAGGATTCTGGGTCGATGAAAAACATTTCACATTGCCCCACCTTCCCCTACGTAATTTGAATAAACTCGTGATGCTTATTTTGATATGATAATTATATTATTACAATGATTAATGGTTGAATAATGTTTAAGTGGAGAGAAATGTGAAATAAAATTGTATAAAATTTGTTAATTAATTATTGAGTGTTGGCTTCATTATTTATTCCCATCAAAAAAACTCATTACTTCGAATGTTTTCCTCACTGATAGGAATTTCATTTTCCTTCCTCAACTTGAGAATTGAATTACTGGTGATAGCAGGAGTCATAGTGCTTATCAAACCTGAATTTTGATGTCCAGAACTCAAATATCGCACGGAACTTCCATTGCGGATAACAAAAATCATCAGCATGAAATCCATTGAAGGACTTAATTATCCAGATCCTCATCAACTCTTCGATGAGTTCAAAACGCAGTCCGAAAAAACGGATTTACTAAACTATTAGCGACTACCCAACCATAACATCAGAATATACGAGTAAAAGTCCGTGACAAATTCACTAGACTGGAATTTCATTTGGAGGGTTTTCATGCACCCAGCGTCTTCCAAACTGTTTTCATCATCACTAATCCTCACCCTCCCAATCCCCCGTGACCCTGAATTTTAATGCTTAAAATATCCCACGCTTTGTCCATTCTTGAAGACAAGAATTTGCAATATATTCCAGCCCTTATTTCGCTTTTAATCGAAATACCAAAAAATAGATAGGACAGTCAACGATCAAGATTATGAAAATTTATTTAGCTTTACAAGATTTTTACAATGTTGATTACAAAAATAAAAATGAGTCATTATAGTATATTATCACCAAGGGCGGAAAGTCATGTTTTCCCCGCCCAAGGTGCAGATGCTATTTTCCGCCACGGGGGGCGCAATGTGCACATTTCTGATTTTGCGCTTACACCGTGACCCTTACCCAGGTGCTTAGCCCCCTCGCCTTCGGCTCGGGTGGTAATTCTGCACGTGGGCACGACTCCTTTATTTTCCCTCCCCAGGTAGAGAATGTACTGCTTAACAGGCCTTCAAATAAAAGTTTGTATTTTGCTTTCTAATCACGTATGAAAAAATGCTATAGGTTTTCCTACAGGATATCCTATAGGATTTCCTCTAGGAAATCCTATGGAGAATTCGAACATTTCCTATAGGATTTTTCTGATCGGATTTCCTATAGAATTTCCTATCAGATTTATGACCTTAATCCTGAACCTTGTCACCGATTGGTTTCGAGTCTCAATTTTGTGTGTTACTTTCTATAGAGTTCTATAGTGAATTCTACAGGAAATCCTATAGAAAATCCTATAGGAAATCCCACCAGAAAAATCCTATAGGAAATGTTCGCATTCTCCATAGGTTACCTATAGGAAATTCTATAGGATTTTTTCATATAGATTTTTTCATAGAAAGTTGTTCCCGAGGGAGAAAAGTACAGCTTTTCTGCCGTTGGGCGATATGTAATCAGTACTTTTCGCCCGAGGGAGCAATTTTCTATTCTAGAGCCGAAAGTACTTATTTTCCTCCCGCTTATGAGGGTGCAAAATACGAACTTTCCGTGTAGATGTGTGAAAATATACTATTACGCACTCGTATTGAAGAATACTACAAGGTAACATGAATTAACATGAATAAAAAAATCAATACAACTTCGTTGCATTTCAAGATACATCAGTAACTTACTGCAGATCCTTGCAGAATCATTTTATGTAAACATGAATAATATTAAACATGAGTACTAATAATAACATAAATTATAATAATATTTTTTTTGGTCTTCAAGACTAGATAAAACGTGGAATATTTCAAGCATTAAAGTTCAGGGTTAATAGGGGAACTGGGAGAGTGAGGATTAGTGACAAGAGAGGCCTGAAGGGGTAACAGAAGGCCACCGTTTCCTCGAAATTTTCCAGCAAATTTCCTGCTGCAATTTATTCATATCTTTCGAACCCAAAGCGCATTGATCTTCATCATCGTCTTCTGTAGATTATGTGTCTCAATTTGTAAAAATATCGATAACTTTCGGTAGGAAATTTGTTCAAACATTTGGAAGATTAGCGGCATTTTGTTACCCCTGTAGAAATCTACATTTTCTCTCAGTGTCAATTTCTCATCGAAATTTTCCTCCGTGCACTGATAGAAAGGATTAGTTATTGTTCACAAATGAATTTGGTTGAAGGCTAGGGTCTATTCGGTTTCACCAAATGTTCATCCGTTAATAGTTAACAAATGCATATTTGAGGAGGCGGGTTTGACTTGACTTTCACCTTTGAAGTGAAACATTCGTTAACTATTAACGAATAGTAGAGTTGAGTATGGCCAAATAAATATTCGTTAGTAGTTAACGAATCTCGTTTTGAATAAATGAGTGTGCATTTCCTCCTGCGAAATCTCTTTAAACTTTAATATCTAAGACTAGAAGATCCTTCGCAATTGCCATATCTGATAACAAGAATCGTCAATACCTTCAACCCTTCGACTGCCGGGAATCGAGATATCAAGTAAAATCGGATGGAGAATACGTGTCGAAGTGGAAAAGGGAGAATGCCGTTGAGGGGGTCAGGGCGACCGCTCAGCTCCCACGCAGACGCGTCTGGACCGCTGTGACGCAATCGCAAAATGTTGGGAGAGCTAGAGAGGGTAGAGTTGGTGGTGGGAAGGAACTTCACGGGTGGTGATCACCCCGGGCAGATGATGTTCGAACGTGGTTGTGGACACACTCACTCGTGACTCTCATTTCTTCCCTCGGACCCTCGCGGAACACCCCGGGTTCACTTTCTCCGTCGAACCGCTGGAATATGTGAACATTTCTATTCTCGGTTTCTTTCGTTCATTTCGATACTTTGTGTGCCTCGAGGGAATTTAAGATAATCGCGAGTGCATTGCCGATCGATCTGTTCAGCCACCTGTGAACAATGTTTTGAAGAGAAATCAGAGTAAGAGTCGCTGGTGATTTTCTTTAATTTTCATTCCTTTGAGTGTGGATTGAGAATAATGACAATAATTGTATGGGTTCATTATTATGATAAGTGGGGAGTGACGTGGTAAAACATAATACGTGAGGTAGTAAATTTTTAAGGATGTCCAGGTACCTTTTGCAGTTTGGTACAGGCCACACTACAGATTCAACCATTCTCAATCATCGAATTTGGCAGTTAAATTGCGCGAGAAGAATTGGAAAAAAATCATGAATATTTAGTGTCAACTTTTGGAGACCTTATTGTCTTAGGCGTGAAATCGATTTCTGGTAAAATCCTGAGTTTGAATAAATTTGTTACAACTCCGACCAAATGATTTTTATGGTGATTTTCAAGTTGATTGGTTATAAATTATTTGTAAAAAATGCCCGTTTAATTTTCGGAAATTGCAATTTTTTAATTATTTCATCAATTTTCCTGCAAAAGTAAATTTTCCAATTTTTTTTTAATTTTTAAAACGTTTTCTAACGGTCCAATATCGAGTTATCAAGTTTAAATAATAAAATCGTTGTGAAATGTTCGGAAACTGAGGGTCAAATGGGGTTCAAATGAAAGCTCTGATGTTCGACTACAAAAGTAGAAAGGCGTTTCACTGGAGAAAAAATCGCCACAGTACTTGGATATCCTTAAGAAAAGCTCTCGACGTAACAAGAAATTAAATTTCCTGTTTATCTGAAGTTCTATTCGTTACTAACATAATTGATGATTCGATTAATTATCACATGAGAAAATATGATATTTTTCGTGGATACTGATGATATCTTTAACCAGTTGATATCAAAAAAATATATTCAAAGATTCAACCAAATGTTAAAGAGAAGAAATTGAATATCGAAATTTTATTAAATCTTATTTCATCGTGATGACAAGTATTTCTGGGGGAAAAGTCAGCATATTCCTTCTAGCCGGGAAAATTTCCAACCAAAAAATCTCCTGTAATTTCTTCTGCAATTTGAAATAGACTGAGCAAAATTTTTCCCTTTTTTAAACATTAATTTATCGCAATAGCGAGTGGTTCGACCAAAAAAGTGAGAAAACTTCTGTAGTTGCACGTCTCCAACAAAAACAAGTGACGTTTTCTCGGGAGATAATTTGATCTTTAAAGAATCAACGATGCAATAAAATTCAAACTTGACCCCGATAAATTTGAGAATTTTACTAAATGTCGATTCATCTCCATAACGAGTGTTTTTAACGCAAAATCTCAGAAGACTTTTATCGAAGATCACAAAATTGTCAGCAAAAGACTTGTTATGGCATATATCCCTGCGATATCTCATGATGAAGGAAATCGAAGTTCAATAATGTGACAAATTTACTACTTAGTTTCCCTTCAGCTACGTTTTACTACTTCACTACTGAATTCTAATTATCGATAGAGCCATTAAACTTCATACAGAAAAGCCAATGGGATATCTGTTCTCATTCCTTTTGAAATGTTCGACGGAAAAAGCAATTTATAAAATTACTGCCATCTCATATGAATTATCACTCTCGTTATTGAGTCAAGAGCGAAAGTGCGGTATTCCATCGGTTGAAAAATCATTAAAAATGGCCTCGATCTGTGTTATGAGCCGCTCGCTGGGTTTTTCATCAAACTCCAAGTGTCTCGGGTTTCCTGCCTTGTTCACACAGCCCAGCATTTCAGTAATTCCCCTGTGTCCTTATATTATCACCGTCGGAATAGAGTCTTTAAACCCTTTTAAAGAGCGCTAGGATCTCGCGTTTCACGTGATGTGCAGCGAGATAAATGGTGCTCCTTTACAAGCGTTTTTATATTTAGCTTTTATTTTTCATTTTAGTGCAATTAACATTGAAGGCGTATTCCACCAGGAATTATGTCATCACGCTCCCTGCGGGCGCTTGCTGCCTCTAAATTGGATGAATTTTTGTATTGCGTTTATACCCGGAAATGACGGTTAATGTGGGAAGTGAAACGAATGACTACGGTCCGACCACGTTTTAAATATTGTTGGAAAATGTGTTCGAGATCAATATTTGTTTTGTTTTCTTGTGCGTTATGTTTTTTTTATTCAAATGGTAAAAAGTTGAAACACATAACATCAGTTGGGAATTTTCTCGGAACCAAAAACATAAATTTTGGAATTGTTTTCGGCAGAAAATATAGATTTGAGGTTCTTTATTGAATGATTAGAGATTTATGAAGTGTCAAAAGTCGACAGAAATTAAAAATCTATTAATTTATTGAATGATCTTCAGTTCTGAGAATCTATCTGATAAAATCTGAAACAGATTTGATCCTGTAATTGGCTTCATGATGTTGACTCTTCATTAATACATGCAATGAAATTAATAGAAGGCAAAAGTGGTAAAAGCGTGAAAAAATGGAAACAAACAATAACATTTTGCAATTTCGAATTAATCGCTTCTTTTTTAAGTTCCGAAAAGAAAATAGAAATATGAAATTCTTTGTCAAACGAATATGAAATCATGAAATGTCAAAGTCGTAAGAATATAAAAATCCAATTGATTGAATGATCTACAGATCTGACAATCTATCTAACAAAATATGCAACAGATTTGATCCTCTAATTGGCTTCATAGTTCATCGACCCTCCACGAAAGAAACATGAAATGAAATGACCGAGGACAAAAATGACTTTGTTATTGAATATCGATTTACATCGGTATTGAGTGACTTAAAATGAATGGAATCAAATCGCCTATTTTCGAAACGGCCCGTCATTCCCCAGTCCTAATCTATGAAATTGTTTACAGATCAATGAGAACCACATGACACTGATGACAACCCGACATGAAGTACCTAAAGATTTCGCTCTTTCTGTTCAACCTCCTAATATGGGTAATTAAATAAACTAAAACGTGTAAATACCGCTTCGCTATTTTATTATTACCAACTGCTAATTGACTTGTCACTGAATTCATCGAGTAATTGTGGTACGTCGATAGTTGGCTGGGTTCATGGTGGTAGTTATTGGCGTGTGGCTGTTGCTCGAGCCCAGCAATGGACACCTGCTGAATCTATTTGTGCGGAGTACATCGCCCCACTACACTGTTCATATAGTTGCATATAGCCTACTTGGATTGGGATTCATTGTCCTCACAGTCGGGTTTGTAGGATGTAGAGCGTCATTGTATGGAAGCCAGTGCATAATAACTGTGGTGAGTAATTGAACGTCGTTTTGGGGGTCGCAGGGACAATGTAAAAGGTGTTCCATTTTTGAAAATGTAACGATTTGTCGCTCAGTACGTTTTTCGGTACTTTGATTGTTACACATGAATAATTAAATCTGCACTGAAGCACGCAGACATGAAAATTAATGTCATCGAATATTCATGCGCCAAATGTGACCAATTATTCATGATATTGGATTTATTCAATTCATTCGTTTTGTCTCGATCACAATTTATTCCAACGAATGTAATTAATCTGAAATGTTACTGTTCCACTTGTAAAGGGAATTCTTCCGGAAAGACTCGTTTCGCGAGAATAATTGAATACCAGTGGTTGTTGCATCGCTTTGCTCAATCCCTTTTTCATTCCACACGAAAAAATTTAGCAGAAAAACCTTAGACTATTATTAGACTTATTAGACAATTCTATCGGATTTCTGTTGAACTTTCTATTAGTTTTTGGACGATTCCATTGAGATATTTTTTATAGAATTTCTCACCTCAAATTTTCTATTATTTTTTGTTTGATTTTCTTGATATAAAGAAAAGAAAAATAGAATGACAAAAAAGCAGAAAATTAAATTTTTTTGTGGGTGTCTCTATGAAATAGAAATTTTTAACAGCGTTTTTTCTGTCAAGAGGCGAGTTAATCAATGTAATAGCTCAATTTTTTCTCTTCTTTTTTAGATTCTCCGAAAACTCGTTACATTTTTCGTCACTTTGATTTTTATCCAAAAATTATTCAATCCACACGTAAATGAATGGAACGAAATTAAATATCCATCCGCCGAACGTGATTAATTATTCACGATATTGGATAAAATTTATTGATTGATTCGTTCGTCAATTTATTAATTATTTCGTTCGTGTTGACTCCATGACGATTTATTCCTACGAACGTTATTAGTTTGAAATGTTACTTTTCCACTGATAAAGGCAATTCTTTCCGACGATAACTGAGTACCAATGATTGTATGGCTTTATTCTGTCCCTCCGTAGTACATAGCAGCTCTGGTGGTGCTCATAATAACAGAATTAGCGACCGCAGCAGTCGGGGGTTTTTTAGCTTACCGGGGCATATCCGGGTTAGAGGAGAGATTAGTCGAGAGACTTGGGGATCACTACGGACATGATCCATCTAGTGACATCGCATTCACGCAGAGTCTCGATTATTCACAATATAAGGTAATTTATTGATGTCACGAGTGACATATTAATAATTGCTGTTTATTTATATTGATAATTCACCGGGAGATTTTCTTTTTATCCAACGATTTTATTTGGAACAATGGGAGAATTTCGAAAAATGGAGCATTTAGTCCTGCATTCATGTTCTATTGGAGAATTCAGACAGAAATTTTCAATAGTGACTTGGTGAAATTTTCGCAGAAATAAATTCCTCGATTCCAATCATTCTATATTTAAACCAAATTCATTCAGGAATTTATCGATGGACGCTATCTCACCAATACCTCATTTATTGCAGTTCAATTGCTGCGGGATTCATGGGGATAGCGATTATAATGGCACTGCCTGGTGGAGAGACTTCAGGGTGACAGGAATCAATAGAAGAGTCCCTCTCACTTGCTGTATACTCAAGAATCACGAAGTAAAGCATTTTTCATCTTCTCTTAGGAATTTTAAATACAAGAGAGTCGTAGTGCAACGCTAAATATGAAATTATTGTGAATAAATTTAAGGGGAGACTACTACGAGTTTTTAAAGTCGCAGGCCATTGGAATGAGATTTCTCATACATTGAAGATCGATTACGTATGTCTAAAAAAGAATAATTAGTGCCAAAAAATTAATTGTTTGTTGTTCGTTTGCCTCGCAGACGCTTAAAATGTTAAAAATAGTCCAGGGCCTCCAATTTTTGAGCTACAGAGTTGTTCTCAAAATTTTTGAAAAAAATGTGTGGAATAACAATTACGAGTTAGTTATTTGAAATTCAACCCCTACACAGCTAATCTCGGTTTTTTTAAATAAAAAATTGCACCATTCATGTAAACTAGCTCGAAAAATCTTTCTGAAAGAATCAAGAATATCAATCGATCAATCAATCAGTAGTTTAGTTTATTGTATTTTCCGAATGCAATTATTCATGATACAAAGGGGGTTTTAAGCTTACATAAAAAAAAGCAGAATTATAAAATATAGATACTGAGTGAAAATTCAAATTCCAATCGAACTTAGAATCAAGAATATATTTTTCATCTTTTAAGGATAATTTTTCTGCCTATTTTACACAAATGGCGTAAATTTTAATATTACATAAAACGAAATTACCTGTGTAGGCGTTGCATTTAAAAAAACGAATTCGTATAATTGTTATTTTATACATTTTTTCAAACTTTTTTGAAAAAAAAACTGTATTTTTTCACATTGTAAGCGTCTGCGGAGCAAACAAAGAATAAACAATTAATTGTTTTGCACTAATTATTCGTTTTTAGAAATATATGATAGATCTTCAGGGCATGAGAAATCTCACTCCAATAGCTCGCGACTTTTAAAAATCATAGTAGTCCCCCCTCAACAAAATACGGACGTTAACTAAATAATTTTATTTTCACGATTTTTAAAAAATTAAAAAATAAAATTAATTTTTACTTTTGTTTTTTCAGTTTCTTTCAGGGTTTTCAGTTTTTTCTTTCATAGTTAAGTAATGCCATAATATTCTTTGACCTATGATAGTACCAAGATAAACTGTGCTTCTTCTTCCACTTGACATATTTTATCGTTTAACTTTCACGGGAAAACTTTTGTAGGTAAAAAATGCTGGAAGTCCTATGAGTGTAGTTTCCCGGGTCTTTCACAAAGATGTGAGTAGAATTCTTGATTAATAAAAGTGATCGCTCGAGAGTACAAATTCTTTTATCTGAATTTTATCGTGTTTGATGGACGTTAGAATGAAAAACCGTGGGTAGTGCCGCAGCCCAAGGATGAGGCTGCCTGTCAATCTGACGATCCAGTGGCGCAGTTGGGGTATCGTCACAAAGAGGTGCGTTTTTATCTCTGGAGAGATGAATATCGTTATTTGAAAGAGGGAGATTATTTTCGTGGCGAAGCAATGAAACGTGAAGTGTTATTTTTAGTATTTTGTCATAGACGAACAAATTTCATTAAACAATCTAACGAATTCGATAGAAAATTCTATTAATTAAAATTCTATTGATCGAAATTCTATTGGTCGATTCCATTGAAGAATTTCAGAGTTTTACTGTGCGTTTTTTGGGAGAAAATATTCAATAGAAATTATCTAATTGAAAAATTCAGTAGTATTCAATTTCATCTTTTATACAACTTCTTCTATTGAGACAAGGCTTGAATTCTCTATTCTTTTTCACTCAGTTTATCTTTTGTTTTTATTTAAAAAACAGTTTTTTATTGGAAAATTTAAGCCGAAGAATTTCTATAGAAAATATCTCGATGCAATAAGTTACATAAAAAATCGAATGCTGTTGACTTTTCCTGTAGATTATTTTCCATTAAATATTTTCATTGAAAAAAAACCAGCTAAGCTGCGGGATTTTTCAACGCAATCCGCCAAAACCTAATTGACGATTTAATAACATTTTCGAGTAAATTTTCCTACGTTTTTCCATGAAATTTTTTCGTATGTCCTTAAATATGGTAATTCACTAGCAATAGAAATATTAAATCGTTAAAAAATATAACACTTACTCAAATATGTGGAGACGAAGAAGAATAATTGGAGAAATTTATTGTAATACCATTCAATTTTTCATTGCATGTTTTTAGGCAAGAGGTGAGTTCTCCATATCTTTTCTTCTTAAAATTTTAATGATCACTCTAACCATGCAATGATTCTAGTTCACAAAATCCATGCAAAATAATTACAATAAATGGAATATTGAAATGGGCGAACTCCACTAATTAAAATAGCTTTAACTTCTTCCGCTTCAAGCTATTCTACAATTTTGGTTTATTCTCCAGGGGTGTATGCACAAAGTTGCGGCTTGGGTGCAATTTGAGAGCTTGAAGCTCGTTTTTACGGGGCTAATAATGGCAGCAATCCAGGTAAAATGAATCTCGAAGTAAAAATCAAGAGTGAATTCTCTTAATCCTCTTATATTCGTCTACAAAATAACATTCACCGATATGAGAGGAAAAACTTTCTAGAAGCACGAAAATTCTTGCCGCAAATCTATTTCTAAAGATCGAGGGAAATGGGACTATTCTTGCAGTAAGAATGGACGTAGAATTCCCGCAAAAAATACATAGAATTCGTCAATAGAATTCTTAGAGAGTTCCAATAGAAATTCAACAGAATTTATTAATTTTCCGAATGACTTATCCGAGGTTACCACAATCAAGCTTATGGAAATTCATTTAGTTAACAACATTTTTACAATCTTGATCACTGATTGTAACAAACTCGAATGAATTACTCGGAAACCTAATAAATTCTGTTGAATTTCTAGTGGAATTCGATAAGAATTGTATTTATTTTTTGCGCCGATTCTACAGAAATTTATGCAACTTTACCGTGTCATTTTGTTTAATAAATATTTAATGGAAAAAGTCAATAGATTCTGATTTTTCTGCAGAAATTCTCGGCCGTAAATTTTCCAAGCTTCATTCACTGTATTATCCTTTATTTTTCACGATAAAATCTAAGAAAAAAACTGGGAAAATTCCTCCCCAAGAATTCTTACCGAAAAAGTTCCAACGGAATAACATCCCGAAAAATCAACATTTTTACACTTTTTCCATCAACAAATATCTATTTAAAACGACCGGGGAAGGTGCATAATTTCTGATACAATTAGAGCAAAAAAACAACTAAAATTTTCGAATAGAATTCTTGCAGAATTTCGATAAAAATGTAATAGAACTTCTTGGAGAAAGTGCTTTCTGTTAAATTTTGTCATTTATTCATTCAGCAGATGAAGTTTTCGTAAGAATTAACGCCCTACTTATCATGAAATATTGTCTATTCCCAGACTATCGGTATCGTTGTATCAACACTGATGTGCAAAACAATGAGAGATGTGCAAAATGATGGATAACAAAAGGAAGAGCCCATCTCATTCACATAATGGTGGTACACCTAGTTCTGATGGCCGTCCTGCAGATGTATGATATGATATCATAGTGGAAATTTCATGTTCTGGCCAGCAATGTGAATTGAAATGGCAAACAATTCGTGTTGTAAAAATGAGAATAACAAGCCGCGGAAATTCGAGTAGAACCTATAACGAACTTTACCCAGGGAAACAAAAAATGTAAACAGAACCCCAAAGCCGACGAATATTCCCACACGAGCCACTTGACCGTCAATTTCTCCAACGATAACAATGAAATGTCGTGAGAGTTTAACAAAATAATGTAGAGTCGATTGTGTTGTGAACGAATGACTTCATTTGATAGCTTTTTTCTCGCGAATAATTGACTCGAATGGAATTCGCTTCAATAGTAAAGCGTCAATTTCATTACTGACTTGAATTCCTCCTTGTTGATTGATAATATTTATCATTGCCTGCGACATTTTACTATTTTTTGTACATAAAATTGATTATTAGGAATGTTCAAATAATTCGGATGCACTAGATTAACCCTGAAAATTAAGGAATAAATCCAAACAAATTTTGGAAGTTGATGACAAATAATGTAGAAAGATATTAAATCAGAGATCATAATTCATAATTCAATTCTCAATGATTTATAATTCCACGAGAGATATTTACTGCAGTAAATTAGATATCTCATGTGACAAAATTTAGCAAAAATATGTTTCTTGACATTTTTCATAATATATAAAAAACACTGTCGCGAGGAATGAATGAATCTCGACGGGAAATCGTAATTACGAGGAGCGAATAGTGAAACAAATCGCTAATAATGAAAGTTTCAAGCTACAGATGCTGAAAAAAGAGAAATAATAAACACAAAATATTTTTAATAAAATTCTACTTCAAATGAAAAATGGATAAATTGATTGCGCATATATTTTTTTAAAGCAGTTATTATGCTGGATTTTTTTAATGCATTTGATTTACTGTAATATAGATGAAGATTAATGCGTATTCTATGTGTACAGAGAATTTAGAGTTTCATTAAGTGTTGGTTGGATCTCTCTGAGACAGAGGTTAAATGTAACTATATAAACGCATGTGTAAAGGTAAGAAAATAAATCGTTCTTCGTGTAAAAATGTAATTACTTGGGTTCTTTAATTGAAGCAATTATTCGTGGTAGTAGAGATCTTGGGGGCTGAGGGTCCTCATGGGTCTAGAGTTTCCCTTAGAAATCGTTCTCAGTTCAGCCATCTGAGGGATATGGAACCATTTAATTTGGAGAAGTGAGAATGTGCACTGAGAAAACAAGAGTTTTTTTGAGAAGGACGTCTTTACTTGCATCCAGAAATTCGTGGCTTGGAAATTACCAAGCGCACAATATCGCACACTAAGAAAAAAAATTCTCGCGCCAAGAAATTTTATACTCGTCCGAAAGCTGAGAGCGATTGGTTCAGATCAAGAAAACGAGTTCTCAAATCAATTCAAGTGGTTTTTGCATTAAAATATTTTAGAATTGAAGCTAAAGAAATGAAATGAAATAATTCAATTTTACTTGATTGGGGAAATCGCTTTCTTGTCATCGAGAAATTGTCGAAAGTTTTTTTTTGTAATGCAAGATATTTTACTCTTGAAAATTTTCAAGCCACGAGTTTCTTGATATAAGTAAAAATGTACTTCCAAAATTAATGCATTCATCCGTCAGCAGTTCTTCTTTTTTTCTAATTTTCATCTCTAAAAAATGCGCTAACACGGGTTGGTTCGGGCGCCAGTAAATCTTACTTGAGATGCGGAGAGAGACAGTGGCTCCGGATAAATTATCCACGTCGCAATTTCCCCGAATGGCTGATTCAACTTTTCGCTGTAACTGTAGAATTTTCTCTCGAATAACGGAAATAAAGTGTCCAGCTGAAATGGGGGTATGTAGTCCTTGTCATTTGGTTTTTGAATTCTGCAGAGATTCATTATGATGGGATCTAGCAGTGGATTATCATTTTCTTTTATCTGAAAATGTAAGTTTATCAATTTTTAACGCTCTCAAGAGGCAGCGGCTATCAGTTTTCGAAATAAAGGGGTATTATAGCGACGATTTTTACATGTAATCTTCTCATTCGTTCCGTGCAAAACGTGACTATGTACGACAGAAATTCTTACCATTATTTTTCGAATAATTCAAGCGATTTCAACAGTGAAATTCGAGATAATAATTTTCTCAACAGTAATTTACACATTTTGCGTGAAAAGAATAACACATGAGAGAATATAAAAACTCTCAATTTAATTTCTCGCCTCCGTTAATGTCCTTCACTAAAAAAAATGTAATCCTGCCAACCAAATAATGTTGTGTCAAATAAGAAGTTACATTGAGAGAACAATTTCCATTTCATTTGAATATGTAGACCATATTTACTTGGGAGGAGTAAATCATTTTCAATTGCTTAAATCCCAGAATGTTCGCGCTTCACGGAACTCGAATAAATTCTAAGTTATCACTATTGTTCCGCGGTGTACCATTAAGATATTACGTATCGAAACGTTGGGAGTGCATAAAAAAATCACGAAAACAACAAATACTTGAAGATTGACGATTCTTCTACGCGATTTGAGTGAGTTCATTTGCAACAAAATTATACTTGAGTACAAGAATATTTTAAAGCATGAGATCTTTCTCGGGTCATGTAAACTGAGACGCCTGGGAGAGTTAAGCGATTGAAGAAATATTACTCGCCTCAAGTAAATATGTTTCAGATATTAGAATTTTTTTCTCAGTGTGTAGTGAAATTTTGTATGGGAATTGCGGGCATTTGTTTGTCTGAATTACATTTCATGGGCAGAATTATATTTTCTTCTCAGTGCTTTTCACTAATATGCTTTTGTATTACTTGGAAGAGATATGACACGATGGTTGCATCGACGTCGTCCGAATGTTCCTCGGTATTTTCCCAGGAGTTGGTCTTTTTCACGTGCAGAAGCTGCATTTCAAGGGGATAGTTGACTTGACCGATGGAATGTTCACTTCCGGATTGATCTGACACACCCCAACGGAAGGAGATGGACTCAAGTTGATAAGTGTGTTTCAAAGGACCTCCGGAAATTGTTGGAACTAGGTTGCGATTCCAAAATCCTTGGACAATCACTTTAGGATGCAGAAAGTTTAGTTGGGCAATTATAAAAGCGACTTTTTGAAAAACCCAGGGAATAATTTTTGTTCCAGTTGCTCCACCCTTTCGACGTTTTTTAATTTTCAATTAAATTGGACACGAAAAATTTGAAAAATAATCATACCTTATTATTAGTTTAACTAAAATTATGTTTTGGAAAATATGAATGTTTCCTGAACACTTTTTTAAATAGATAAATAATAGATCTTGTTTCCAAAACTTCGGATTTAGAACTCAATCCTAATGGAACTTTTGATTTATCACATAAGATTTTTTTTTTTACAAAAACTGTCATTAAATTAAGAAAGAAATACACTGTTAGAGAAAAAAATGAAATTTCATGGGCAGTTGACTACTAATTTTCAGAACGGTGATACTGAATGCGATTTAGCGGGAAAAATCATAAAATTTCAAGTTTCACTGAAAATTTAATGAAACTAGAGTTTTAAACAGCATAAAGACGAGGATTCCTTAATTTATTTGAATTTCCAATCTAATATGAACATTCAGCGCCAAATTACATTGAATTTTTAGTGAAATCTGAAATTTCATTTTTTTTTCCCCTAAATCGCATTCAGTGTCACTGTCCTGAAAATTCAAGAATATATTTACGGAATTTTCTGGTTTTCTATTCAGTTTCAGGTAAAAATGGAACTTAAATTGACAGTTCTCTTTGATTTTTCCAAGAAATTATGAATTTTCAATGATGAAATTCCTTGAAATTTCAATGACATTTAAATTCGATAAAAATTTCCAAACAATGTATCGGAAATTTCAGACACAAATTTTCAACAGTGTACGATTGTAACTCTCATCGAGTTTTCTGGAAATTCTCTGCAGTTTTCAATGATTTTTGAATTCATCATAAGGGAAGAGCTACTTTAATTATCTCCGTAATGACTAGTTTTACAATTCCAGAAACTTCACAATTGACTAGAATATGCTTGAAACGTTTGTTTCATAATAATCTATAAATTTTCTAATTTTCGGAAATAATATCAGGTCCGTCTCGGAGGAAATTTCGAGAGCTAAAAAATATTCCCCAAAGTTTTCGCCTAAAATCCTTCGTCAACTAGTTTACGAATGTTTTGCGCAATTCTTTCCCCCCATTAACTTTGGTGAAGTTTCGCGTCACCTGTTTCTCCACTATTCAAGATTGTCATCGCAATTGGCGGCACCGTGTATCCATTCCATTTGAGCGGCTCAGAAATTTCAATTACAACCGCTTGACGGGGTACGATATTCACCGGGGATTCGAAACTCTCGCTGTGCTTCCGCGATAAACTTTCACGGTCATCTTCATCCTCAGTGTTTTCAAACACTGTTACTTCCAAGTCGTGATTGCTTCCAAGAGAAGATATGATCTTTCCCCAATTAATAACCTCGAGGAAGAGAAAGCCTGAGACATAGAATATCTCAATATTTGAAGAACAGTTACCAGGAAATTAACAATTCACTCTTTATATTAATATGGACAATATGGACAAGAAAAAATCGTGGAAAAAAAATTGTTAGAAAATTCTATTCGACTTCTATTGAGCTTTCTATTAATTTTTGGCAGTTTCTATTGAAAAATTATGACTCGCAGGTTATGACCGCTTTTTCAATAGAAAGGCAGTTGCAGCAGTTCCTTGAATAATTCTCTACTCACCAATCAGGAAGATACTTCCGCATATTATCAGAAATTCCGGTAGTGATAATCCCATATTGAATTGAAAAGAGAAGATTCAATCACTGAGAATTTTCTACTTCTATATAATTTAAATTTTTTTAGTGTAATTAAAAAATGAAGGATAGAGGCTATAAAACAAATGATGGAGACATTCATTTTCTCGTGTCATTTGGAATTCTCGCGATTTTGAAAAAGGAATGGAATAAATATTGATCGAGAAGTTCAATCTTGCAAATTTATTAGAAAACAAAATATTTAAAGGAGTCGACTCATTGTCGGGAAAATTCATCTGCGTCATCTTCTGTAGGAAATTTCGGGGGCCGCAAAATATTCAGTTTGATATTTTTCTCATAAAACTGTTTCTTTGAAGATAATTCCATAATCAACAGAACTGCTATATTTGATGCGGTAAAGTTTGGGCAGATTCATCAAAAGACCCGTAAAGGAGGCCCTTGATATTTATCTCTAAACCTCTCATGCTCAAAATGTTTACAAAATAATCTGTACGAAAAATTCCCAGTCTCATCGTTTTATCTCCGAAAATCAATCAAGGGGAAGTAAAGTAAAATAGTCATCCTTAAATCATCAATATCTTCCGATAATACGCTTGACCAAGTCACGTCTCATCTTGAAGCCTGCAAAAATACCATCAGAATGAAAAAAAAACATATTTTCGAAGTTCACTCTGTTTATTTAACTACAAACAAGAAATTTCAAAGAAAAACCTAGCGAATTCGCCAGAAAATTTGATTGGATTTCTATTACTTTTTGACCGGTTCTGTTCAAAATACAACGGAAAATATTCTACAGAAAAAATCAATAGAATTATAGAGATATTCTCTACATAAATTCTTCGGCTGCAATTTTCCAAGTTTTTTATTCGATTTTGTGCAATGAAAAGAAAAAAAAGTGGAAAAACTTCAAAAATTCGTCCAGGAATTTCAATAGAAAATAGCTCAATAAAAAGCGTCGTTTAAAACAGTGTTTTTAATCAAATAAACAGTTATTCAAAACACTTTGTTTGTGAATCACTTTTCTACAAATTTTCTTCGTTCTCTTCCTCCCACCCAAACAAATCTGACCCAATAAGAAATTCCCTAACATCTGTATCCACACAATTACAACATTTTATTTTCCCTCTTCCCCTACAACCCCTCAACAATGCAACCTCACTTCACCTCTATCCTCCCCATTGAAACTCACCCCCCAAATGATTTATCCCGTCGACAGCAGCCGAGATTTTGTCCGCACGCTCCCCAAGCAGATGATAAATCGCGCGAGGATTTGATTCTAATTAGATACGAGAACAGCTGGGAATTTTACCGGTTCATTATGAAAAGGTAAATAAACAATATTTTTGGCTTAATTGAATGGATTAATTTAAAAATGTTATTTGATTCGAATCTGCACAGGGAAACCATTTTTTGTTTGAATCATCAAAAACCGGTGGTAACACTGAAAAATTGTTTCTTCAGTAGTTTGCCATGAGACTATAAATTGATAAAACACTTATCTATTACTTGGTTATCTTAGGAATGAGCAGATTGTAGAAAAATCCTTCCTCATTTCGTTTTTTCTGAATATCTCTAAATACAAAGAAGATGATAAAATTCTCGTTAGTACCTTTGTTCAATAAAAAGAAAAAAAAATCGAGTTGGAAAACTTGGCAAATTCATGTTGAAAAATTTCAACAGAAAATAGCTCAATAAAAAACGTTGCTTAAAATAGTTTTTTTAATGAAATAAACAGTTATTCAAAACACTTTGTTTGTGAATCACTTTTCTACAAGTTTTCTTCGTTCTCTTCCTCCCACCCAAACAAATCTGACCCAATAAAAAATTCCCTGACATCCCCTCAACCTCAACTTCACCTCTACCCTCCCCCTTGAAACCCTCCCCCCAAATGATTTATCCCGTCGACAGCAGCCGAGATTTTGTCCACAGTCTCCCCAAGCAGATGATAAATCCTCGCGCAAAAAACCTCGTGATACAACCCAACATCGTAAATCCCCTCTTGACCCCCAGTGTCCCAATATTCCTGAATGTCCGATACAATGGAGCCAGTGGAGCTATTCAGTGCCTTCCCCCGACCTCGTTCCCTCCTCCGCGATGACTCGGACTCCTCTTCGCCACGCGCCCCCCCACTGCACTTTGATACATCGTCTTGAACTCCCTCCACCTTGAACGCACCCCAAGCGCACAGTGTCTTCACACACTCGCTCTCCACCGAGAATTGACTCGCAAACCCGGAAACTAAATTAAACACAACTTGATGCCTCGAACTGATCGATAATTCCCATCTCCTGTGCCCCCTGAGGCCTCGACACAATTTCCCGAATTTATTCAGCATCTCAGACCTCCCATTGGCGTCATGAACCCGGAGAATGTGATCCTGGAGTTCGGAAAGAGATAAAGCCCAAGGGTCCCTCCGCACGAGTCCCTCGAGCATCCGCTTGAGCTCTCCCACAGCCTCGCGATCATAAGAAAATCCCGGATTTTTCGCCGCGAAGACTTCCCTCTCCAGAAAATAAAGGGCGTGAGGAGGATACCGAGGGGGAGGTGACTCCACCCTCCCCCAGATCTCCTCGATAATCCCTGAAACAACTGAATTACGAAACCGAACATTCAGATAATCCTGGTAATCAATTATTCTGTTTGGAAATCTGCCGGGCTCCTCGCAGACACCCCAGAGACTGAGGACCATTGGGGATTGCGAGAGCCTGGGGAAGGTCTCCAGGATTACGGACTCCAGGTGGACCCCCGGGGCCTGCGGCTGGTACCGGATGATCAACTCGCCACAACGGCCCGGCGAAATAATGTCCGAGGGCTTTGCAAAGTGAAAGAACTTTCCTGTTTGCATTCTTGAGAAGTTGTCACGGTCAGACACCGGCTCCTGCCACTTGTAAATTAAATTCTCGAAGGTTTTGTTGTCTAGACAGATGAATCTCTCGGATTGTTGGGACTTCTTCGAGAAAAAGTCCAGGGAAAAACGAGTGCATTGCGGTTTCTTCATCGAGTCCTCGTCGAAGACGATCTCTTCGTCGTTTATTTTTAAAATTATCCGCTGTTTATCCGGGATTCTCTTACCCTCAACCGCGACCTGATCGACATCTCCGATTTTTAGGTTTAATTTAGATATCTGGGGGGATAATTCCGCCAGTTTTCTCCGGAGGTACTCGCTGTGCTTCTCGGGGAGCGCCGGGGGCTTCGGGAGAGTCAGACATTTTTCCCGTTGGGTTAGTTCTGGGAGAAAGACTCGGGAGAGGATCCTCGGGATTTTTAGGCGCTTTTTTGTGAGGGATAGCGCGATTTCCGGGTTCTCTGGGTCTCGCCGGTTCTTCAGGTACACCGGAGTCGTCCAGAAGTTGAGGTCAGCCTTGGATTTATCGGGGAGGACTGAGTCAGCAGCTGCCTCGAGAAGATTCTGGATCTCGATTTTGGGGCGAATTTTTTCGTAGGAGTTTAGCAACAAGTCCTCGGACTTACGCCCGGTCAAGGATTTCAAATGGTCGCAGGTCCTTTCGCGATTTTCTAACCACTTTCGCCAGTTTCGCAAGCGACGGTCTTCGATTGCCTCTTGAGTTTTTACGCTTGACGTCTTTATCGCTGTTATTGAAGATTTTCTTAGGGGTTTGGGGGGGAGGGACTTTGATTTGTTGATTTTTTTGGATGAATCCATCAATTATTGGGGGGTCCAGGCGGTTTTGAGGTTTGAGAACTCGCGGGTGGATTGCGGGATTGTGGTTGTTGGAGGAGTCTCCAACCGATGGCGCGAGGATTTGATTTTAATTAGATGTGAGGACAGCGGGAACTTGGCCGGCTCATCGTAAACAGGGAAATAAACAATATTTTTCGTTTAACTGAATGGATTAATTTTAAAATGTTATTTGATTGATTTGAATCGACATAGGGAAAACAACTTTTTTGGGTCATTAAGGGTGTTAGACACCCTTTTCGCCAAAATTCACGTTTTGCATTTTTCTGGCAAATTGTTGATTGGATTGACGTGAAAAATATACTGTCTTTGCGTTTCATCATTACTTAATGACTCACGAAATTTCATGATCGTGCAATCATTTTCCTGCGTTTTTTCTAAAACTGTTCGGAAATTCAGAAAACTTTAGAAAAAATGCAGGAAATGGATTGCACTACCATGAAACTTCGTGAGTCAGTCAATAATGATAAAACGCAAAAACAGTATATTATTTCGCGTCAATCCGATCAATAATTTGTCAGAAAAATGAAAAAAAACGTGAATTTTGGCCGAAAGGGTGCAGTACGTCCTTAAATACCTTTGGTAACTCTAAAAGGTCGTATATCCGGTGGGTTTTTAGTAGATAAGTGTCATGTGACGATAAATCAAGGAAAAACCTGTCGATTATTTGGTGAATATCTTATATTTACAAAACCGTCTAACTGTCTCTTGATTTTTGTCATTATTTTTGAAGATTTTCTGTTAGGTTTGGGGAGGAGAGACTCCGATTTATTGATTGTTTGGGAAGAATGCATTAATTATTGAAGGGTCCAGACAGTTTTACGGTTTGAGAACTCGCGGGTGAATTGGGGTAGGGGATCGTAGTTCAAGGAGTTTCCAACCGATGGCGCGAGGATTTATTTCTAATTAGATACGAGAGCTGGGGATTTTGCCGGCTCATCATGAAGAGGTAAATAAACAATATTTTTGCTTTAATTGAATGGATTAATTTAAAAATGTTATTTGATTCGAATCTGCACAGGGAAACTTATTTTGTTTGAATCAATAAAAACCTGTGGTAACACTGGAAAATTGTTTATCCAGTAGTTTGTCAGGAGACTATAAATTGATAAAACACTCATCTATTACTTGGTTATCTTAGGAATAAGCAGATTGTAGAAAAATCCTCACTCATTTCTTGGATATTCACAAAACCGTCTGATCATGATTTCGTTTTTTCTGAATATCTCTAAATACAAAGGAGATAATGAAATTTTCGTTGGTACTATTTTTGTAGTTCTCATTTTGCGCCTCAAAAAAGATTTTTTCAAGAAATTTGTTGTTTTTCTCAGATTTATTAGAATTCCAAGATGTTCATAAAAATTGTATTTTATTTTTCGATTTCGTTTACTTCCACCATTTTCGTTCGAAAATACAAAACAATTCATTCATTTTTAGATTTTTGAACATAAAGTAAGGATAAATGAACAGAAAGAAAGAGGGCAAAGTATCCCAATCCCTCCGAAATTTTTTTTGCATTTTTTCATCTCTTGAGAGAATAAAATTCAAACAAAATTGTTCCTGCAAATCCAAAAAATAGTCTCAGATTTTTTATTTGTTTATTTATTTATTTGTTTATTCCGTTACAAGACCTATAAATGGTATGGAAATAATAAATGCATTGTGGTTTTCATAATCGCAGTAGGTAATAAATGCAAGAGGTATTATACAAAAGCGTTCAACATAAATGTCTGGCAGTAATGAGAAGCGGTCAAGATAGTAAACATAAAAAGTAAAGAGGTTGTAATTGCTGTATGCGACGTCAAGAACAAGTTTCATATGCTTTATTTACTAGAGTCCATTGAATCGTTGAAAATATCTGCATCCGGGTAACGACTAAATAAGAAATTCAGAGCAGTACCTGCTTGATGCATTACTGAAACTTTCGAAATACATGAAAGATAGCGAAGATTTCAGAATGTTTTTGTAAACTTTCATTCCATTCTACAGGATATATCTTTATAAAACTTTATTCATTTTTCCCAAACTCCGAAATATTTATCAAAATGACATTCTACTTTTTTCTCTACTTCTATAAAATTGCTGAAGACCGCTCAGGCCAACCAGTTGTCACGTAATTTTTGATAAAATAGATGTTTCTCTGTTACTTACATAGCAAAAGGTCGGAAATTTTCACAGTTTATTCATTTTAGTGTGATTAACAAAATACAAACGGAAATTCAAAATCGTAATGTTGAGGCCCAAAATCCGCGACACTTTTCGTGGAATGTTTCATATTCAAAAAATAACATTTAGTTTTTCAACATGATCTTCCTCGCCATTTTCCATCCAAAATACTGAACCATCCCTCAATTTCCAGGTCTTCAAACCCGAAATAAGTACAAATAAACATAAAGAATGACTGCAATTCTCGGTGGAGGTATCGCCGGTCTCTCCGCAGCCTTCTACGCCCTGGAGAACCCAAAAATCGGGCCTTTAATTCTCTTTGAGGCGTCAGATCGCCTGGGGGGATGGATAAAAACCGAAAAATCAAAGTCTAGTGCTCTTTTCGAGAAAGGCCCGAGAACATTGAGAATCGCAGGTCTGTCCGGAAAAAACGCACTCCAAATGATTGACAACCTCGATCTGACCAACAAGATCATCCCCATTCCGTCGACGCATGTATCAGCTAGGAGTCGATTGATTTATGCCGACAAAAAATTGCACACCCTACCGAACTCCATGGCGAGTCTATTCAAATTCAATTCCCTAGTCGATCGACCGCTCTTCACCGTTATGTTTAATGATCTGATAGCAAAAAAGGGAGAGAACAGGGATGAGAGCATATACAGCTTCGTGGAGAGGAGATTTGGGAGAGACATCGCTGATTACTTAATTAGTCCCATGATATGTGGCATTTGTGCTGGGGATGCTAAGAAAATCAGCGTAAATTTTTTGATGAAAACTCCCGCAGAGTTTGAACAAAAGCACAGATCGATAGGTCTGGGATTGATAAAGGAAGGATTGCAGAACATTTTCAATTCAAAACGAAATGCAGAACAGGAAAAAAAGGAGGAAGAGAGTAGTGAGGGCTCAGCAGCGCGAGCTACGAAGGAGAAGTGGGCAATCTGGAGCCTCCAAGGGGGTCTCCAGCAGATTCCGGAGGCACTGGAGAAAAAATTAACATCGAAAAACGTGAAAATTCGGGCGAAAACTGAAGTTAGAAACGTTACATTTAAACCGGACTGTGTAGAGTTGGAAGTGGATGGCGGGGTTCAGAAGTATGAGAGGGTGATAGCCAGTTTATCAGCTGAAAGACTGGGGAGGATTTTGGAGAGACAGCATCCCCAGCTGGCGAGAGAGCTGGAGGCTATTCCCGCCGTCACTGTCGCTGTAATAAATTTTGAATTTCCAGGGAAAGTTCTGCCGATGGAGGCCTTTGGATTTCTAGTGCCTCCCAAGGAGAAAATTCCCATTCTAGGGGTGATTTTTGATTCTTGTGTGTTTCCACAGAAAGCGTCGACGGTGAGTTGGTGGGGTTGAGGAGAATTGTTGATACATTGCGAGGAAAAATGACTTAATATCACAAAACTAATTCCTTGAAGAAAATAATAAGACAGTAGAATAAATAAATTTAAATTGGACGGAAATGAGTACGAAAAACACTGAGAGAAAAATCTACATTTTTGTTTTTAACACGAATTAAACGATTTCTTGAGGCAAGAAATTCTCACTTTATCGCCAAGTGTTCGTGTTCGAGTCATGAACATTTCACAGGATTCTTACGTGGTCTGACTCATTATGCGGAATTCTTATCCCAAGCGTTTTAACCTTCAGAAATGAGATATTTGACGCGAGAACTTAGTTTTGTGATATTATGTCGATATCTCTCTCAGTGGAGAATTTAGAATATGAAACCATAGTGAGTACTGGTGTGAGTAATTGTTTACGTGATGACTAATATATATATTTTTTAATTTCATCAACTGCTCATAGGGCATTCCAGTTTGACTCAGGTCCTGGTCAACTTGATTATCTTTTAGTTTTTGATTTTAGGAATTTTTCTGTCCTTCCTGATGATTAATGTTGTGATAAACTGTCCATGTGATGAGTTTTTATGATGAAACAATCAATAACACTGCAAATCTGTAATATCACTTTTTAAGTAATCACACGAAAATTTTTAAACATGTAACACAACTAATGAAGACGTCAGAAAAATTTCACAATTAGTCATCTCAAGTACCTGAAAGAAAAGTCCAAAAGGAACAAATCTAAAACATGACTGATAAAAATCACATCCATTTATTCATCGACAGGAATTATAAAACGAATTTAAATTAATGAATTATTCAACTTTTAAATATCTTACAGGTACTGACAGTAATGATGGGCGGTGCATGGTTCGACGAATATTTCGGTGTTAATTCATCGCAAGCACACATGGAGACTGTGGCACTAGAGCAATTGAGAAGAATTCTCGGCATAAAGGTCGACCCCTCGGACAGTCACTTCCAAATTCTTGAGAATTGCATTCCTCAGTATATCGTTGGCCACGAGGAGAGACTCAAGAGAATACGCAATTATATCACTGCTCATAAAATGCCTCTCATACTCTGTGGCTCCTCTTATCAAGGCGTTGGCCTTAACGACGTTATTCTGTCAGCGAAACAGGCCGTTCATGATATTTCGTGAGAATTTTATACATTTTTATTTTTTAACGAACATAGAATAGATTTACTAATGAGATTTTTCATAATTTGTTGCATTAACTTCATGCCCTGGAGCCATGCGAGTCTGTAGATAAACATGCAAAAAAATACACAAATAAGTGAATAAATAAAACAGTGAAGTAAATGGAAAGCATTCAATTATCATTCTTTTTCAATCGTTCATTTCATGGCATTTTTTCACTCTTAATACCCATGAACAAGTTTCTTTACTCTTGCGACCTTCACTAATCACATGACGAAAGTTACCATAATATAAACAAATGTTGAAAAATTTTACAACAAAACTGACGAGAGAGTAGTGAAAAGGCTCATAGGCATTTCACAATAATAGATCTGAAGATTTTCCATCATCAGATTTTTCGAGGAAATTGCATGTGGAAAAGTTGGAAAAATTCGTAAGTGATCAGCGCTCTTCAAATGACATCTAGCAGGAAATTAATCAGTTTTTTTATATTCTTCCCTTCGAATTAACAATGGGTGTTAATACCCAGTGGATACACATGTGTATAAAGGCTCAGACTGGAAACCTAAAGGTGGTGGGTTCAAAGTCGACCTCCGGTGATTATTCTCATTTCCTTAAATTGTTAATTTGTCCATTCCGTCCAAAAATGAGACATAAAATTGCTTTTGACATCCTTTTCTTATAAATAAATAATAGGTCCTAATACCCAGTGGATCACCGACGGCGGTGGCTGTGCGGTTAGCGTTTGAGATTGACATGCGAAAAAACCGGGTTTTATTCCCGGCCGGAAGGGGCTAAATTTGTGACACTCCAAATCTCACGGTTTCATTATCGAGCGGGAGTCTCGCAAGAGGCAACTGTACCTGGGCAGAGTTTTTCCCTAAATTGAGGTGTTCCCTTATTCTTCGGCGAATGCGGTACAGGGGGTTGGCGGTGGGAAGGACACAAATTGTAAAAACTCGAAAGGGTATACGAGAAATTTTTTTTTTCAATTTTACCCAGTGGATTGACATGTATGTAAAGGCTCAGACTGGAAACCCAAGGGTCTTGGATTCAAAACCGACCTCTGGCAATTATTCGCATTTCTTCAAATTGATAATGTCCATTTCGTCCAAAAATGAGAAATAAAATTGCTTTTCCTTGAGCGAATTATGAATATCAAGGGGTACCATTTAAAACATGTGAAAACTCTTCGAATGTTTTCGAACGTTTTTAAAAAATAATGTCTAAATTATTCATGGTAAAAGGTTGTAATCTCCACAAATGGTTTTGGAACGAATTTATGCACCTTAAAATATTTACACAATACACATGACAGAAATCACTCTAACAACACAAGCATATTTATAAATTCTAAAACAAAATTTCCGAGCATATCACAAAAATGCTAGCAGTGATTTAACAATTACGCAATGACAAAAAAATACTCGAGAAAACATTGAATTTGAAGAAATAGTTCATGCTCTCTACTGGTGCATCAGACGCAGAAGTAGCACACGAGCAATCCTCAGACACAAATTCTCATTGACTGACATTACCTGCATATTTGACTTCATCGAACGCTTTTCTTGCTTTCTTCAGCTCTTCGTTCATTGTCAGAAGGTCCTTCACCCTCGCGTACTTCCTCGAGTCTTTTCTCACTGTAAAAATTCATTCCAAACGTTTTTATTCAATCTAACTGAGGAAATTTTGACGAAATTAACGAAGTGAAGACTGTTTTTATGAATTACCGAGGAAAACGATGTCCTCCACTTGCACTCGCCCAGTCCTCCCAATCTCCATGGCTCTGTGGGTCATCTCAGTGATGTACTCGATGACGAGATCCTCCAGGAGGTCAACACTCTCCGTGTAAGGATTCTGATCATCTCCAAACCCGTACATCATGCATCGAAGCTCCTTGGAAAACAGACGCTTCCTACCACCGGGGAGAGTTCCTCCAATCGGTAGCTCTGTCTCCTCGTCCTCAAACTGACCCACCAAAAATCATAATGAACATAATTCAGTAGGGAAGTGGTAAAACGGTTTAAGTCGACTTATCTCCCAGTTGAGTTTTTGAGGAATATTTCCGAATCTAAGGGAGATAGCGAAATTTTTGTAATTACATTTTTTGTAGCTCTCAATCGGCTCTACAAGAAGGTTTGTTAGAGATTGAGGCTAATATTAGGACGGATTGGGGGCACGTGATATGGAAAGGGTGAAATTAAAGACACGTGGATTACAAAAACACTGGTGATGTACTTTATTTGTGACGGAAGCCACGCGTCTTGATTTTAAGGATACAGGAATTGGTGAATGTCTCAAGGTCAATTTGATAATAGTCTTTAGACTGCACTAAATATTCTTTCGATATTAAACTTGATGGTTGACTCAAAATGATTGATAGTTAACTCGGAATTAATTGATAATTGCATGAAATAGAGACGCTACGCAGAGCGCTAGATGCAATAAAACATTCGGTGATGTACTCGATACTCGGTTACTTGGATACTGTACTCTATAGGTGACTCTCTGACTAACCGATGTACACTCTTTGAGGAGTAGATTGATACCACTGAAATTTCATATTTAGCGATTTGCTTCGAGATTTTCCTGTTGCTGTTTCCAACAGGTTATAGCAAAGATTGTGCTATCCTCCCCTTAGATTCCGAGATATTCATTGACAACGGGTCAATAGTCAAAATTGAATTGTACCGTTTTACCACTTCGCTACTGAATTAATTATCCCCGCGGATAATTTCAGGTCATTGACAAAGCTTTGGAAAATTCTAGCCTTTGAAATTGGGGGTCAAGAGGTGGAAGAGAATGAGGAAATTGATAAATATGCCTGGGTCAAAGGAAGATGAACAAATTTTCACGAGATTATTTAGGGTGACCAGGGCGAAATTTGAAAGTCTTCGGTTGATGAAAATAACTACTGAGCTCTTAAGAGAGCGTGAAGATGAATGGAAGAATGATTAACTGACAAGAATACATAACGTTAAACAAATACATCACTGTACAGAATATACTAGAGAATAAGCTTATTATTTTGATATTCTACTGTACCCCTCAGATGGAATCTCTGACTCTCGTAAAGTAAACTATATATAAAATAACTATCGAGTGAGTTTCGATATATCATGGGGTAGCTAAAAAACTAAGAAAAATTTCGTATCCAACCCATTTTACCTTGTGCGTCAGGCGAAAACGTCGTTTTTCGTGTTTTTGGCTTTGAAATGCTCTCGCACCACAATTTTCCTCCCATTCAAACTTACTTTTTCAGAATGTATGTTAGATTCCATAGAATAAAACTAGGTTTTCTTTCGATTATCTCAATGAAATGATAGAAAAATTAATTTTTTTCGGTTCACTCATTTTTTGCTTTTTTTATACCGTATAAAAATCACTATTGTGAACATCTGTTATGTACTATTTTAATGTTCAACAACTCGGACTAATAATTTTATACAAAAAAAGTAAAAAAACGAGTAAACCGAAAAAAATCAAATTTCTTTTATTGAGGTTAGAAATACTATATTCACCTGTTCAAAAGTCTCCTCAGTTGCCATAATTCCAGCCACCAATAAACCGCGATCTACCCTTCAAAAACTTCCTTAATCTCAATACTGATAATGCAATTTAAACAGCAAAAACTTATCAAATAATCAGGTAAATGACGGACGAACAGAGTGAACGGGTGTTTTGTTGTGTACCCCGTAGTTCAGTCAACATACACCAGGAGCAGGGTATCCCCCCCCCCCTCATAGCGACCAAAATCGGTGCTAGTGCCGCCAAAAAATCGCCCATTTTTTATATAATTATTTTTTCAGCAGGCTATAAATGAATACGTGCATGTTTAATGTAATAAACTTCAATTTTATCAAGCCAATTCGTTAAACCCCTGTAGGGACTTCAGAGATACGAAAGATCCCCAATGAATCAGATTTACAAATGCAAACAAAGTCATCAGGCAAGGATGTCCATACATTAACGGAAATAATTATTGGAATTTATTTAATAATTAACTCTAATGCATTAATTGAATTTATGCTGAAGACAATAGCATATATTCTGAGGATTGGAAGACCCTAAAAGATAAAGGAAACCTCCTCGAGTTTTAAGAAAAAACAAATAAGGCACCTTCGCTACCTAATTGATGAATTAATTTGAAAAATGTCTCAGAGAATGGCTTCTACAAAAATCGGAAACTTAAGGGGCATTTCAAGAAATATTTTCTGCTCCTCATTGTCGGGAACGATGGCTAAATAAAATTGGAACGGCAGTATTGAATAGACAGATGTAAACAAGAAAATCAGTAGCTTGTGAAAGTAAATGTTGTGAGTCGTACCATAGTTCATCATATCAAGATTTTTCAAATATTATAATATGATATTTTTCCCTGGAGCCCTAAATATTACGAACACGCCAAATTATCGGCAAACCGCCAACGTCCACATTTAGACGCCACAGGAACTTCGAAAATCGCCCATTTGGCGGCAAATCGCCCAATCTGGCAACCAGGAGTCCCGCGATTAGCATCAAACACGAAGCGAGCGAGTTCCGATGAAAATCACGAGAATAGGGGCGAGTGAGGCAAAACGAAAAAAATCGTCTTCAATCTGCAATAACTGGAGATTTGCGAAGTGAAAACGAAAAAAATTCTCGTAATCTCAAAGATTTTTTCTCGCTTTTCAAAATGATTTGAAATTTACTCAATTCGTAATTTTCATTTAGGAGATATCTACCATTTGAAAAGATCCGTTTTAACCCACCCTCACTGAGACCAAAGATTTTGAATCAAAGGTCAGCATGCTGTATCAATGCGCTCATGCAATCCACCGGAACTGACACAAGTCGGTTGCAGTAATTATAACCAGATAAATTGTTGAGATGCCCTTGAATATTGCGATATAAATCCCCAAACAGTGTAACTGAGGTAAAGACAGAATGAAAAAGCGCGCACGCTCGAATCGAGGGGTTTATACCCGTGGCAAGGCACGAAACAATTGCAGACGATAAAGCGCAGGCGGTGGCACAAGAGTGTGAAGAATATTGAGCTTTCACAAGATTTGACAATTTTCGGGAATTAGAAGTTTTTGTGGCTCTAGGGGACAATTTCATTGGGAATTGAGGACCCGGTGGAGGAAAATGAGAGTCAGTGAACTCGGGAATAAGGGGGACAGGTGGAATAATCAATAGGGGCGTGCGGGTGAGTGAAATACGTCGGGAATTACAACTGCAACTGTTGCTTATGGAGGATTTATCGGTTTTGACTGTGAATTTATGCAAAAGCTGGCGGGATTGATGTGTTTCTTTGAGATTGAAGGGAAGTCGGGGCTGGGAGACAGTCGGAGGAGTTTTCTGTGAGTGGAATGTGTGGGAATGAACTGATTTGTCGAGATTAATTAGTCAAATCAGTGAGGGAAGACTATTTTGTTATTATTTTTTCAAGTGTAAAAAGTGGAATTTTATGTTTTTGGCATTTGGGAGTTTACAGCGGGAGTGGGGAATTTTGTGAGATGGTTAGGAATATTTTTCTTTGGGAATTTCCTCGGCTGTAGAAATGTATTTTGAAGTTTTCCCCTAGAATTAATAATTGACAGGCTTTTTGGATACTTTCTAATGGTCTTTCATTTTCTTCTTTTCATGTGTAGAAAATGAAATGTCCAAGAGGACACCTAAAATCAGGTATTTATCAACTATTATATTACTGATTCTGTTTAAAAATAGTAGCAGATGCATTGTTGAAGTTTCAACTGGTGATTTCAATCACATCCCCTTTAAAATGAGAAGCATCCGCTTATTTTTATTCATTATAAATTAATATTATACAGAGACTTACTTTGAAGATAACACGCACGAATATATTTAATAGAAAAACCTAGCAAATTCGTTAGAAAATTCTATTGAATGTCTATTGACCTTTCTATTAATTTTTTGATGATTCTATTGGCATGTTCAATAGAAAATGTTCAATAAAAAAATCAATAGAATTAGATTTTTCTATGTAACTTTTTTCTTCAGATATTTTCTATAGAATTTCCTCAGCCTAAATTTTCTTTTTTTTTGTGCTATTTTTCTTTTCTTCTCATTAAGAAAATCGAAAAAAAAACTTTGAGCCGACAAAATTCTATAAAAAATATCTCAGTAGAATAAGTCATATAGAAAAATCGAGTTCTATTGACTTCTTCTATTGAATAATTTCTATTAAACATTTCAATTTTTTAACGAATTCGCTAGGTTTTTCTATTAAATTTTGTCATTCGTGAAATGCCAAATGAGCTGTTTAAGGAGAATATCTTTAACGACAAAAAGATCTTTTGAACGCAGAGAAAAAAGTTTTATTTTTAGGGACCCATATCTAATTTTTAACAATTCATCATGAAATTTCAGCGATAAAAGGCACCGATGAGGGTCATTCTAGTAAATGTCCAACAATAATTGGTGACATGACTCTGAAACGCAATAACTTTTTTTCTCTGTGAGCTTTCAACCCATAACTATGCATAATTCCAATCGTCTATGCATTTCTTAAAGCTCCGAACACGTGAGGAAGCCCCCAACCATGACAGTCGCCCGTGATAAAAATCCCTCGAGCTTCGTTGTACCAATATCTCCAGCGAGAAAGAGTCCCTGGCCCAGTGGCATCGACTCAAGCTGGGATAATAACAGCGGTGCAACGTCTTCCTCGTGGCCTGAAGACATTGAGGAAGTTGCGACGAAAAAAGTACTGGACTTGTGGAACGCTGTTGAAAGAATTCTTTACAAAGAGGATAATGAGGAGGAGGCGTTGGCCCAGGGGAGTGTCGCGGAGGAGTGTATTCAGTGGAGGACACAGATCCCACATTTTAGAGTCGTTGGGAAGAAGATGAATATTCAAGTTGTTGATGAAGATGGGGAGATTTGTACAGCGGAATTGGGGAGAGACCTTCAGAGCAAAAATGAGGAGATTAGTGATAGTGGGAAGAAAGTAAATCCTTCCTTTTCCAAGATAAATTTTCATTTTATCACTTCCAATTTTTTTTTTCCAGAAATTTTAGGGTATAAGTACGAAAAATGCTGATGCATAATCCTAGCGCTTTTTTAAAGCAATTCTATTGAATTTTATTGAAATTCTATTAAAAATTATGTAACTTTAACGTGCTAAGTTTTTTTTCTTGAGTTTTTATTATGAGGAATAAATGGAAAGGCACTAGAAAAAGTTGGAAAATTTATGCTCAAGAAATTCTATAGAAAAATAAAAAATCTATAGACTTTCTTGAATCAAATATTTGTCAAAAAAATGACTGAATAAAATTGTACAATCGTCAATAGAATTGACGCAAGAAAAATAGAATTTATTAATAGAATTCTTATAGATTTCCCATAGGAATTCAATAAAACTTCTTAATTCGATTGAAAAATAAGTATCTATTAAAAAATATATAATTTTCACGTGCGTTTCTCGATAGATTTTTTCCATATAACTCACTTTATTGAGATTATTTGCAAAAGAATTCTTGAATAAGAATTTTATAATTTTTTTCAACTTTTTATTACGAGAAACCAATAAAAATACAGCGAAAAAGCTTAAAAAATTTATGCTCTAGAAATTCTAAAGAGCAATACAAAATCTATGGACTTTTTTCTATCAGATATCTGTTAACAAAATGACGGGATAAAATCGCATAATCCTCCATAAAATTCCTTAAAGAACAGCCCACGGTTTTTCTATTTATTTTTACCATACATGCGATATTGCCTCGTCTGTCCGTTTTACCACACTTTTCCCAATTCAACAAAAGAAAAAAAAATAGAAACACAATTACTGATGTGAATTCAATGAGTTTTTGTTCACTCTAAACAGAAAGAAGTTCCATTTTCAAGCGAAAATTAATAACATTTCTGTAATCAAGCATTACTATCGGTTTTATCGGTTCGATCGCCCCCTCAAGATGCGTAAAAATCTCGTTTATATTCAAATAACAAAGGGATTCTTTCCTTTCAGAAGCCCACATCATCAAAACGAAGCAAAGACCTCAAAGAAAAAATCATAGATCTCCTGGTAGATTACATAATGGATGAAGTAGAAAAGGACGATATACCGTCAGACACATCAAAGGACCTAGACGACGTACTCCGTATAACTCCAGCGCCAACGTACAGTGGTAGAAAGACATTGAAATCGCGCGAACTAAGTAATTCAAGTAGAAATCGTAGTGCCAATAGAATAAAATCGTTCGAATTGACTGAACTGATTCCCAATAGTAAAGCTTTCAAAAAACTACCGCAAAATGCCAAAAACTCAATTGACGATAATAATGAGGATGAGGATGATGATGTCTCGAGTGTTGATACGAATCAGCTTGGTAGAAATAAACTTGGGACTGTTTTTAATAAGAAAATTGTTGTCAGTCCTGTGCCATTTGCGGTTACAACGCGCGAGAGTTTTTGCACGTTGAGAACAACACCGATTAAATATGCTGGACATCTACTAGAGCTTACGACACCTCAGGGTGAGCACTGGCTTTGCATTCAATTCATTAATTTACCTGTTCATTTATTCATTCACGTATTTATTTTTGCAAACAGACGTATGAGAAAATTGCAGACAAAAATTACGTGCAGTTGATAAAAAATTCTATTAGCTTTTCACTGTTTGGTATGAGAAATGCAGTGGCTTCTCCATTATTCAGAGGAATTATGCGATGGAGGAAGATCAATAGATTTCGATTTCTCTATTCAATCTATTCAGTTGGTATTTTCTCTACAAGAAGTTGCTGATAATAAATTGCACATGTTTTTATTCACTGTTCTTCCCTAGTCTCTGGTGGTCATTTTTTAAATTATAATTCCCCTGATTTTTACGTTCTATAACAACAAATACCCTTGGAAATGGGGGATGAATAGTTTCATTCATTTAACCGATTTTATAGAAAAATCCAAATCAAGCTGAATTTGCAAGAAACATCATGAATTCAATTTTTGGATAAAAAGTCCCATTTGTTAATGAAAATTAGCATTTAGTCGAATAATTCAGGGGTCAACTCAAGGTAATTTCGTATATTTTCACCTGAGCATGAGATATCTGCCCAGATTTGAACAGAAACCGAGCAAATGTCGTCATTATAAAAACATAAAAAATTCTGCTATTGAAAAATCAAGAAAAAAACGTGAAAGAGGGAAATCGATGCCTAGGAATTTTTTTAGAAAAATTTCAGTAAAATGGATTTTTGATTTAAAAAATAGTCATTTTTTATCAATTATCTTGTGTACTGGACTGAATTCTTGTTATTTACTTGGGCACCTGTGAATTCACACGTATAATTTTTGAGTCTGTTCATCGAGTTCCTCACCTAATTGATTTAATTTCTGAATAATTTATATCATTATGGATGTAAACAAAAGGGTTTTATTCCGATGAGGGTTCTCATGTAGAACCAAAGCGCAGACTCACTACTTAATTCGATTCATGTCTGATTAGATCGTTGACCACGAGGTCACCTCACATCCAACTATTACGTGTTCTATATTAACATTTATATTTAAAAAAAAACATGGAAAAGCTGCTTAATTTTTTCTGCAAATCGATTAAAAAATAAAATTTCCAGTAGAATCTCAGAAATGCGCGTTTTTCTCTACGATTTTTTCATGCGTGCAACAGAAAATCATAATCAGTCCTCCACTATCATTTCCCCATTCTTATAAATTCAGAAAATCTCTGTCTCTGTAAATATTCCGAATTCAACAGCAGATAGCTCAAATTTGATTGACATTTTTAACAAACCAAAACGTAAAAATTTTGCGGAGACCTCTACATTTCACGATATCCATCAAAAGCCCATGACATTGATAAATGAATAGCTGTAACTGATTTATTGGTCGATAAGAGTTTACAGAAATATGAGTTCAGCGTCTAAAATTAACTCAGCAAAGCGTTTGACCCTTTCCAAATTTCCCCAGCGGCACTCGTCAGCCTGACAGGTCCCAATGTCCCCTTCAGTCTGTCCTGAGTGGGGTGAAATTGACATTTTTGACATTGTTTTCGATGTTCATAGCCCAACGACAAATTCATCGATTTAGTTCAGTCTAGGTTCATTACAAAGTGAACGGATTGTACTTTTAAGGAGATAAAATATCCCATTTCCCTTGAAATTCAACGTATCATTAACATTTCAAAAAAATTCAACATGTCCAGCTTACCCCATTCACGCCTACCCCTTTGATCATCATTTCCTCATTCCTGTAAATTCAAAAAAATTCTGTTTAACAAACAAAAAATAACAAAACGTCACATTTTTAACAATGCAAAACGTAAAAATTTCGCCGACTCCCCTACATTTCACGATATCCATCAAAAGCCCATGACATTGATGAATGAATAGCTGTAACTGATTTGTTGGTCGTTAGGATTTTACAGAAATATGAGTTCAGCGTCTAAAATCAACTCGGCAAAGCGTTCGACCCTTTCCAAACTTCCCCAGCGGCACTCGTCAGCCTGGCAGGCCCCAGTGTCCCGTTCAGCCTGTCCAAAAAACGTTCGCCTTGCCCCCATCGATCCCTCGAGATTGCCCAGCAGTAATAAAAATAGGTAATAGAATGTAATCAAAAAATCCGGCCAGCTCGACCATTTACCGTCACGCCATTCATTTTAACTTGTCGCATTATACCAACAGGTCAGTGGCCCTACCAGCATTACCTCAGCGGCACAAAAATTCACTCAGTCCAATTTCTCGGCCATTCAAGGTCACGTCCGCGGATAATTTCACAGTCGTGAGTTTGGAGATTCAGGGCAAGCAGATCGCACAATCTGCAAAGCCCAATTTAATCCAAAATGGATGGGGTAATCCGAGAACACAGAGGAGGAAAAAAAAGGTGGAGAACGAGTGATCGATCTCGAGTGGCCTAGACTGATGAATAAAGTTTTGTGATTGGCGGAGGAATTTTATAACGTTGTTGAGGAATTTGAGAGAGTGATTGCACTTTTTTTAGAGTAACCACTGCAGGGGGAGTCCTCTATGGCACATGAGTTCGATATTAATTGATGATCGATCTACCTCACTTTTGTAATTGTTGAGCTTGAGGAGGTGGCAACAGCTGCAGTGTGGCGGAATGTATTTTTTAATAAATGTTATATGAAAGTAGTTGACAGACGACTTTATCATTCATCCAGATTATTTCTTTAGGATTTATGGAATCGAGAAATTTCTCAACTGCTCTTTTGACATTTTCAGATTTATTTGCGAAATAAATTGTAGAATTGGGTTAATTGAAGAAAATTGACACAAATTTATTTATTTATTTTAAATGAATTGTAAAATTGAGTTAATTTTTTTCAAGTATATGAGTACTGGGGATGTCCTCTTGCACATTATTTATCAAATAAGGGTTTAATTGCAAGAATGCACAGGATTAAACAAATAATCAATTCTTTAATCTCTCAATATCATAAATTATTACTGCTGTCATCGCAGAATTCAATAGTTTCTCGATCACACTGAGTCATTTCGATTTTGTTAAGCAATTTTGAAAATATTTTCGCTTTTTGGAGTTTATACATGAGTTCGATATTAATTGATGATCGATCTACCTCACTTTTTAAATTGAAGTTCAGAATGTGGCGACAGCTGCGATGGAACCGAATGTTTTTTAAAAATAAACGTTATATGAAAATAGTTGACACAAATTTATTCATTTATTATTTCTTCAATTTACTTATTTATTTATTTTAAATGAATTGTAAAATTGGGTTAATTTTTTTGTCACAGTATATGAGTATTGGGGATGTCTTCTTGCAAATTATTCATCAATTGCAAAAATGCACAGGATTAAACAAATACTCAATATTTTATTCTCTCAATGTTATAGCCATATTGGAGAGAGAAAAAAATTAACATAATTATTACCAGGAAGGCTTTCTGGCATTGTTAAACAAATCTAGTGCTCATTCCCAAGATAATTACATAATCAATAAATATTCAATGGGTGTTCCAACTTTTGTTCCTGTCGCAAGTACAATTTTTCTCTCATACGACGTGTTACGAAATAGTTGACCTGAACTACTAGAATTAATCTCCTGTCACTCCCCCAAAAATTCCTCCATCAATCAACTAATTTCGGGGCGACTCCTCAAAAATAGTTGAACACTAGTTGTCAGGATTTGTTCCAACAGAATCAGCGAATAAATTCCCTCGTCCCCACAGAAAGAACCGGAAAATTAATCACCAAACTATTGAATTTCTCCCCGAGGCTTCCCAGGTACAGTTCAAAAATAACTTTGAAACTTTCTCCCGAACAATGATAAAAACTCTCTGCTCCCAAATTCACCCCGTGTTATCCCCCGAAATTACCATGCAAATAGCTTTACCCAGTTATGGATAATTAATCAGTAAAATTCAAACATCTGGCGTTGGGACAGGAGAGTGTTACGACAAGGAAGTCTAGCCCAGAGGATGAGCTTGTTTCAGAGCAAACTACAAAAGAGCAACTACGAGCACACGGTCGCTGATATTTAGTGATGTTGCACTGTACGTTTTGTATCTGAAAAGCATCGGGGGTGAGCGCAGAAGCGAGAGCTTTCGGCGGGGATGCTGCGAGTGTACCCAAAGACCACCCTTCCTGCTGACACTCAGTAACGCGCGAATGTCCCAAGACAGCACGTGTGTCCCTCTCTTCTCGATAGTATTCCCTCTCGCGAAGGAGGTTCAAATTTCAGAAATAGAAAAATGCAAAAAATTTAACGAAATTAGATCGAATTTTTTTTAATGAAGGATTAAATTATTCGGGTTTTTTTCTTCAGTTTTGAGGACTTGTTGGGGGAAATATGATGGTGACTTACGGTAAGGATTTCGGGGGTTCTGAAGAACCACCTGAGAGCCCTAACTACGTCAGGCCTATGGAGAGCAATCTGGAAATCCTCATTAGGATTTTAGGAGTTATCACTGCAATCAGTGAGTTGAAAAATTTATTGAACCGTTTGGTATTTCAACTTTTAGTTCGAGTTGTTTGTGAAGTGCATGCGAATTCGGTAGAAAAGTCTATTGGAATTCTATAGGAATTCTATGGAGTTTCTATAGAATTTGTATTGGAATTCTATTGAAAAATTCTATTTTTTTTGCACTGATTTTATTGAATATTCGGTAAGATAAAATCAGTAGATTTCGAATTTCTGTTTGAATTTTTCTCTTGAGATTTTTTCTATAAGAATGCTGGAGCATCAATTTTCTAAGGTTTTTCCACTCGGATTCTGTAATGCAAAACAAAACAAAATCCAACGGAAAAAACTGGGAAAATTTCTGTCCAATAATTCTAATAGAAAAAATCTCAAGAGAAAAATTCGAACAAAAATTAAAAATATATTTATTTTTTCCTATCAAATGTGCAATAGAATCAGCGCAAAAAACAAGTAGGTTTTTTCAATCGAATTCCAATAGAATTTTCTAGCGAATTCGCAAGGTCTTCTATTGAATTTTTTCATGACTCAAGTTATGCGAATAGCTGATTTACAAGAGAAATATTCCGCGTAAACCGCATAAGAGGAAACATAAAAAATAGAAAATTGGTTTTTAGAAGGAATTTTTCAGGAAAGATTTCGAATACAAGGTATTTTGATAATTTCTAGAAATCTTTCATGGAAAAAAATGATTTATTATTTACGGAGAGGGAAAGAATCACGCACGAGAAATTTTCATAGAAAAATCGAGTGGATTCGACAGAAAATTCTGTTGAATTTCAATAGAACTTCTTTTGAAAATTCTATTCGTCATCGTCCGATTCTATTGAAGAACTCCGCAACTGTATCGCGCGTTTTTTATATAGAAAATTATTTATAAAAAAACTCAAAAATAACTCAAAAATTAGAGGCCTTGGACTATTTTAATATTTCAAGCGTCTGCGGAGCAAACGATCATCAAACAATTAATTTTTTTCGACCAATTATTCGTTTTTCGACGCATGTAATCGATCTTCAATGCATGATCAATCTCACTTAAATAGCCTGGGAATTTTAAAACTCATAGTCGTCTCCCCTCAATGAGATGAAAATGGCAAAACACTCAATAACTTGCTATCAATTAGTAATAATTGTTACTCTGTCATGAAATGGATCCATTACCGTTAAAAAAATCGCTCACTCACTGAAATCAATAATCTACGAATATCCAGTTACATTCGCCATTCCGTTAATGATCAATTAAGAATTATTATTCCAATATTTCTGCTCTCATTACAAGGTCGAGAAATTACCGAAATAAATCAACGGATCATGCCATTCACTCACCCCGAGTCATTTTAATTGAACTATCTTCATTTCGTGATAAATGAAATGGCAACAACAAAATATGAGGCATAGTTGATCATTATGAATTATCGGTGAATTAATCGACCAGCAATCAATGCTACTTGATATACAAAGTGTTGGCTCAGGGCACACACCAGTCATCCCAGTTTACGTAGAATTCCGATAGCTTCAGAACGGTTTGATGCGAAATGCCTCCTGCCTCGAATGTTGAATTATCCAATTCTGTCTCTCTTACAAGCCTGTCGCTTTGATTGCCCATGACAATAGTATTTTCCCTGAGTCCGTAATTTTACTCAAAACAATGGTAAAGACGCCGCAGTTTACATTTGTGGATTTCTCATTCTCCAGTGTAAACATTTATTTGAATTCGAGAGCAATTTCTAACTGTTGTTTAACAACTCATCAACTGTCTCCGGGGGCTATTTTAAACTTTGACTCGTCATTGCTGGAGGTTTTGAGAGGAGAGTGCGGAGATTGAAGTGGGTTTTCGAAAAAATTTTCAAAACTAATTATAGCGAGAAAAGTTCTGAGATTCTTTGAAATCTTTGAGTTTCAGAACTGTTGTAAAAAATCCAGGAAATAGGTGAACGTTATGATTTTTTCAAGATTTTCCCTACGCATACAAAACGTAAAAGTAATGGAATAGGCTTTTCCAAGATTTTTTGCAAAACAACACAGAAAAAATTCGGAGGAAAAAATACATTTTTCAAGTTCTGGAAATTTTATGGTTTGAAATGCAGTTTGTACGTGACAGTGCAGACTAATTTACGCGGAAAACAGTAATTTCTATGAAGCATTATTTATGCATCACAATTACGTCTCTCGATTTCTATGGTACCTTTTTCGCAACTTTGTTCTTTGTGTATCCGTAATATTCAGGGAACTCTAGTATTTTTCAATTTAACGAGTGAAAAATTCAGAAATCAAGTGGGTTTGTCATCAATTCCTACACTGAGAAACATTTTCCAAAAAAATTTATAAGCTAGCACAATTAACGAGTCACATCTTGCACACGTGGAGAAATTATTGTGTAGAAAAAATTCTTATGCAGTACGAGGAAAATTATCGCTCAGCACCGGAAAAATTATTGGGGGTACCATAATTTTTCTGGTGCCGCACGAGAATTCTCGCGCGAGCATACTCCGAAGAATCAGAAGAAAAATCGTAAAGCGTAGGAATTTTGCCCTTAAATTTCGGCGATTCAGTCCCTAATTTTTAAAGTTATTCTCGTTAGGGTTAAGAATATTCTCGGGATATCTCCACAAATTAGGAAAAGTCTAGATAAAAATTAGCGAGTTATCCCCAAAAAGCTGAAACTTTCTCCTCTTTGACTAAAAATTGTATAAAAACATTCTGATTTCCCGTAATTTTTACTTCAATCTAGTACAATTGTACTTAAATTGAACTGAATTTATTCTCTTTCTTGAATTGATGTTTTTTCTTAGTCTCAAATCATTCTACTCACCTTTCGAGTATTTTTGTAAACATCTGTAAAATGCTATTAAAATAAAAAAATTATGACAATTTCCGCAAATAAATTTTGAGGTTTCCGGTGAAGATGATGAACTAGGCCACTATTCTTAATGAAACACTCGTCCAACTTTTGTTCAACAACTCATCAACTGATTCCGTGGGAAATTTCAAACTTGAGCGCGTCTTGTTAGAGGTTTTCATTTCGTTTGGAAATTCGTTAGCGAAAATTACACTTCTTAGTGCTTTCATAACTGAATGCGACAATTCTGAGAGCAGCGCTGATGATTGATAATCCTGGCGAATGAAATGGCCCATTTATCAAGAAAAGAACATGTTCAATGAATATTTCCTTTTCATTATTCAATCGTATTACTCAACAACTCTTCATGAATTTTTATCACACTCAAAATACTAAAAATGTGATTCTCAGAACATGAATTGTATCGAAAAGAATGTCCCACTTGGATACCCTCAACCCGCGGAGCGTTATATACGAATAATTTTTCTCGTTAAAAAGTTTACTCCCCGTAGAAGCAAAAGGGGGAGGACTTTTCTTTGCGTTGATTAAACAGGGAATCCAGGGAAATATTGAACAGCCAGATTCCCAACACGAATTGTACTTTAATAAGTTAGTTTAACATCGGCTCGAGCGAACCGGGTATACACAACAATGGCGAGGACTAGGGGAGGGGTTATGTAGGAGTGCAAACGAACTCCGGAAGTTTTTGACAGGAAGAAATATGGGGCTGCTTGTTCCGAAATGCGAGACGATTGCCTTCATAATGATGTTGATGTTGATGATTGAGTACGTGGATAGAATCGCCCGTTCATATTAATTTCATTATTCATTTCTGGGTTCAGGTTTTGGTAGTTGACGTCATGAATTAGTGGTTAATGCGCGATATTTCGATTTTTATTGAATTTTCCGTGGGCTCTACGAAAGAATAAATATTACAGAATCAAAAGTAGAATCTTAGGATTTTTATTGTAATATTGAAGATGGACATGGATCACTTGGGAACGACAAAATAACAAAACAGAAAAATAAATTCTCCTCCCAAGAAAATGAGTCCTTGGCTGAAGTAATTTTCTTTCTCAGTATCAATTTACCTGATGCCTTTTAACCTCCATCAAATAATTAAATCAACTTTGACAGTCAAAAAAGAAATTCATCCAAAATCCAAATTTTTTAAAACATTTTTACCGTTTCAAATTTTAACAGAATTTTCTCTCTATGCATGGCCTCTAAAATTCCAAATATAATAATATAAAATATAATAATATAAAAAAATAATAATATAAAATATAATATATAATAATATCATATATAATATAAAATATAATGTATAATAATAATATAAAATATAATATAATTCTAAATGTGAATAATATGGTTGCATTCAGCCTTCAATGAAGTAATATTTTCATCAATTTCACAAAATAATTCCCTCCCAATATATTTTTCAAATTGACTCTGCCCTCGCTTTCGAATGAATTTCTCTCCACTAAGTTGATCATTGTATTTACCGAGGGATGGAAATGAATATTGCGTCCAACTATTGGTTTTTTTCAACGGCAATTTATCACCAGAATTGCCCCATTTTTTCACTCATCGTTTTCTCTATTTCATATTATCGATTTGGCTTTTCCAGTTTGGTGGGATTCAACTTTAACAAAATGTTGTAATAAATCGTGAGAATTATGATCTCATGTGGGTGATATATTTCACGTCAAAAAAAGTTGCGTTATGAAAAACTACTTTGACGCTTTATACTCGAGTTTATTTCCTCCGCTATATTTTTTATTTATCTCGCCTCAAGGACGTGCGAACTACGAAATGGTGAAAACACCGGATTATTTCGCTGTATGCAATTCCCGTGACGTTTTTTTTGTCTAATTGTGACACATAAATAAGACGATATCGACGTCAAGTTATCGCATGGACGATTCGTTGTATCCATTTACCGGAAAGGAGGCCGGGAGAGGTGGGTTATACATTTTCGAGGGTAAATAGCACTTGGTTTCCCCAGTGTTTTCCCATCCTCCCAACAACACCCAAGCGATTTCCCAGAGAAATAAAACTGCATGCTTTCAACTTTCATCCTTTTTATTTCTCTCCCTACGGCGTTGAGTGCAACCCTACACGGTAAATCGAGTGATTTATAATTTTACTTTGAG